TCGCGAGAGTGAAAGAAGCGGTGAGACGGCGGGTGGTAGAAGTGCCAGTCGGACGCGTCAAGAGGAAAACCGAGGAAGACGCAGGGAAGGGTGCGGGCAGTGAGCTTGTCCGTGCCGGAGGCACGAACGTGAGCCAGGCAGCCCCAGACGTGGAACGCAGACGCGTCACCAGGAGACCCGGTCCAAAGACGGGTCGGCGAAACCTGCGGCTGCTGGGGGTGCAGCCACAGGTTAAGCTGGTGAGCAGCGTAGCGCACAGCGAACGGCCACAGAAAATGGGGTGCACCGGCATGGATCATGGAGGTGCGAGCCACTTCCATGACCAAACTGATGCGGCAATCAGCGACCCCATTCTGCTGTAGAGAGTCCGGCAGGGTGAACGTCTGGGTGATGCCCTCCGCACGGCAGAAGCGACCAAGGACACCTGAGGCGAACTCGCCACCACGGTCGGAGTAAAGACGCAAGACAGGAAGACCGCGGTGGACACGGGCAGAGACAAGCCAGGGGATGAGAGCGTCAGGCACGTCAGCCTTTCGCTCCAGGGGAAAGACTGTGGTGTAGCGAGTGAAGTCGTCGACAAGCACGAGGAAGTAGCGCTCTCGACGCGGCCCATGGACAGGGGCAGGGCCCCAGACGTCCATGTGCAGGGTCTGCAACGGCGCGGCGGTAGGGGGAAACGAGGAGGAGTGAGGGGCACGGCGAAGCCAGCCCTCGACGCAAGGCGTGCACAGTGGGGCGGGGGAGGAGGGAAACTCAGGGTACAAACCAGGGAGACCAAGGACGAGACCGTGCTGGGACATGTGACGCAGACGCAGGAGCGCAGGGTGACCTAGGCGGTGGTGCCACAAGCGAGTCGGGTGGGTGAGGGACCGACAAGAGCAGGCAGCAGCAACCTGGGTAGACACAGCCACCTGGGGGGACGCCCTAGCCGGGGAAGTCACGGTGTCCAGTATGAACAGGCCGGACAGCGGGTCCCGGGGGAACGTGGTAAGGGGGGCACCAGTGGCGGCCTCGGTACAGACAGCATACCGCTCGTGACCAGGGAACGTAGTGGTGACGCCAAGGTCCTGAAGGCAGCCGACACCAACTAGGTTCCTGGAAAACGAGGGGATATGCAGACCTGTGAGAGAGCCCGAAGGAACCGCCGGACAGGGAAGGGTGGTGGAACTGCGGGCGACTACTGGACCGCCTGAGGGGTCAACAAGAGAAACGGCAGCAAGAGCAGGAAGCGGCGTCAGCGTAGTGGAGTCGCGGAAGAAACACCGGGAAGCGTCAGAGTCCAAAGTGAAGGAAAGCGAGGCAGTGGCGTCCGGCGACGGGGCGACGGCAGAAGCACCGAGGCTAAACAAGGCAGGAGATCCTACGCCTGACGCAGCAGGGGAGTCTAAGCTAGGCACACCTACACTAGGCAACAAGGGGTAATAAGAGGGAAGCACACTAGAGTCATCAGCATACATCACATGCAGGGCAGCTACAATGGCATACATGTCCAAGTCAAAAATCTGAACCCTACGACTAAGCAAACTGTGCCAGTCTGGGAGGTCGGGCGACGGGCCGAAGCGCTGGCGGAACAGGTCGTCCAGGCGAGGAAAACAGCGAGGAGTGGAGTGACCGATCTTACCGCAAACGAAGCCGCGGCGAGGACCGGTCAGGATCTGGTACTGACAGCGCACGCCTCCGGAACCACCACCCGGCACACCACCACGCGCACGGCCACCACCAGCTCCAGGCCACCCGGGCGGGAGGGCACTCGCGTGCCTCGGCTGCTGCGACTGGTGCGGCTGCTGCGGCTGCGGCGGCTGCTGCGACGGCTGCTGCTGCGACGGCGGAGGCAACTGCTCAGCTAGAGCGGGCGGGGTCCCCTCGTCCGCTCCAGCACCAGATGGCCCGCCTCCACCACCACCCCCACCTGCACCCCCTCCTCCTCCGCCGCGCCCAGCCTTGGGGCGGCGGCCCTTCCCCGAACGGAACTGCGCTGCAGCAGCGGTCTCAGCCACAGTGGCAGAACCATCGGAGAAGGTGCATTGAGCGGGGGCACAACCCTGAAAGATAGGGACCGGCACAGCGCCGCTCGCCTGGGCGATGGAGCGGTGGCGGGCCTCAATAACAGTCAGGGTGTCTACAAAGTATGTGAGGGTGAGTTTACCAAGGTGAATGCTAAGGAACTGGTCGCGAGCAGCGGCAAGGCGGTCAGGGAGACGGGTGGCAAGCAGGTAGAGGGTAGAGGTCATGGGCGGCTGGTGGGCGCTAAGCTGTGCGGCAGTGCAAGGCAGCGCGCCAGGTCTCGTCTATAGTGCGCTGGTGGGCAGCTAGGTCCGCGACAGTGGGGAAAGACGCAAGGTCTGGAAAGAGCATAGGGAGGATCAGGCGACCCACGGATGCAGCAGGCGGGGTGGAATAGCGGTTGATGACAGCATCTAAGAAGGCCTGAGCGGTAATGATAGACCTAAAGCGGGGACGCTCAGACAGGGGTAGGGCATTGCTAATGGCAAGCTGCGCGACAGCGTCTCATGAAAGCCAGACAGAGCGAGCAAGGGCAGCAGCGGCAGCAGACTCGCGCTCAGCAGAGGTGGGGTCAACGGGCAGTACAGCCGGAGGGTCTGGGGAGGGAAGCGTACCGTCAAGGTGTGCTGAAAGCGAGTGACCATCCTGCCGCTGTCCAGTGAGGTGGCGTCGGAGGTCCGCAAGCCACGCCTCGAACTCAAGAGGCTGGCCGTCAGCGTCGAAGCGAAGCTCCGCCGCCATCAGGAACAGTGCAGTGCAAGGCGGTGCAGTGCAGGGCAGTGCGGTGCAGTGCTGTACAGTGCGGTGCAGTGCGGTACAATGCGGTGTAGTGCGGTACAGTGCGGTGCAGTGCGGTGCAGTGCGGTGCAGTGCGGTACAGTGCGGTGCAGGGGGGTGGAGAACCGTACCAGGGAGAGTGCAGAACAGATGGTCGGAGGGCCGGCGAGGAAGAGGCCGGAAGTCGACGCGGGGCCGGCCAGGACGAGCGCGGGAGCCGGCTGGAACAGGCGCGGGACCGGCAGGAACGGGCGCGGGGCCGGCTGGGACAGGCGCGGGGCCGGCTGGGACGGGTGCAGGGGCGGCCTGGACGGGCACGGGGCTGGCTGAGACAGGTGCTGGGGCGGCCAGGACGGGGCACGGGGCCGGCGGAGATGGGGCACGGGGCCGGCTGGGACGGTCGCGAGGCCGGCAGGGACGGTCGCGGGGCTGGCTGGGACGGTCGCGGGGCCGGCAGGGACGGTCGCGGGGCCGGCAGGGACGGTCGCGGGGCCGGCTGGGACGGTCGCGGGGCCGGCAGGGACGGTCGCGGGGCCGGCAGGGACGGTCGCAGGGCCGACTGGGACGGTCGCGGGGCCGGCTGGGACGGTCGCGGGGCCGGCTGGGACGGTCGCGGGGCCGGCTGGGACGGTCGCGGGGCCGGCTGGGACGGTCGCGGGGCCGGCTGGGACGGTCGCGGGGCCGGCTGGGACGGTCGCGGGGCCGGCTGGGACGGTCGCGGGGCCGGCTGGGACGGTCGCGGGGCCGGCAGGGACGGTCGCGGGGCCGGCAGGGACGGTCGCGGGGCCGGCTGGGACGGTCGCGGGGCCGGCTGGGACGGTCGCGGGGCCGGCTGGGACGGTCGCGGGGCCGGCTGGGACGGTCGCGGGGCCGGCTGGGACGGTCGCGGGGCCGGCTGGGACGGTCGCGGGGCCGGCTGGGACGGTCGCGGGGCCGGCTGGGACGGTCGCGGGGCCGGCTGGGACGGTCGCGAGGCCGGCTGGGACGGTCGCGGGGCCGGCTGGGACGGTCCCAGGGCCGGAGCGACGGACTAGGAAGCGCGACGGGCTAGGAATGGCGCGACGGGCTAGGAAAGGCGCGACAGGCTAGGTAAGGCGCGACGGGCTAGGAGTCGCGCGATAGGGCTATGAGGCACCAACGGGGGGGCCCAGGAGGGGCGTGACGGGTGCTAGGGGGCGCGACGGGCCCAGGGGAGCATGACGGGGCCCAGGGGGCGCGACGGGGCCCAGGGGGGCGTGACGGGGCCCAGGGGAGCATGACGGGGCCCAGGGGGCGCGACGGGGCCCAGGGGGGCGTGACGGGGCCCAGGGGGGGCGTGACGGGGCCCAGGGGGCGCGACGGGGCCCAGGGGGGCGCGACGGGCCCAGGGGGGGGCGCGACTGGTCCTAGGTGACGCGAGGGGGCCTAGGGGGCGCGACGCACGGGGGTAGATCCTAGGGCGGAAGCGTGGGCGGGCGGGGGGACCTACCTACTGCTGATACCATCTTAGAACTGAAGAAATGTTGGTAAGAATGAGAGTACAAGGGTATATACCTAAGAGTGTTGTACCCACTAAGAGGTGACCCTATACAGTCTATACAAACATGAGGTATATATATATGTTTGACACGGCCAACTTCTTCGGTCCCGAACCATTTCGCGAACCCAAACCTCGACGCGCAACGCTTCCGTGGCTTTCGCCAACCGGACCGCCCCAACCTGTTCGTGTGGTTCTCGGCTAGCTCTGTTCAGGCCTATAAATGCCTAGGCCCTCATTTGCATGGACACTCTTGAATCAAGACTCCTTTATTACACTACCTGTTAATACTCTTATTAATTTATAAGAGAAGGTATACAGATAACCTGGACTAGCTTCCAGGCACACCACCTCTGCTGCTGGGCTGGCCAGGCTTGGTCCGAGACGAAAATCGTAGGGCCTGTTTAATCTAACGTTCTTCGCATGAGATTCAACGACTGGAGTCGGGTTCAAAGGGAGTGCCACCCTTGCATCGAGCACCCACCAGGGATCAGGTTGGAGGAAGGATGGGGCAGGCGTGTTCTGGGGACAGAGCGATCGAACAAGATTCTTGAGAGTTACAGAGTTAGGCAATTGACTTGATTCGCAGAGAGAAGCCAATATGCTGGCGGAAACAACCAGATCTTCCCACCACGAGACTGGTGCAAAATGCGCAGAACCAGCTGCGATCATCCATGATGTCAGAAGGATTCAACAACGATTCGTAACATCCAGGGGCTACAATGCGTTCGAACACAGGAATGAACCGGAAACATCGTTGATCGGGCTTGCACAGGGTTACCAGCGAGTAGACACGTGGTTGGATATTGCGAACACGCCTCAACTACTATCATCTTCCACGATGCATAGCTCAATCAGAGACTACCACTGCTAGTTCTAGCCGCCTGCTACTACCGCCATGGCTACGTACTTCTTCATAGAGCTATGGCACTCCACGCTCCTCCCTCTCCTCTCCGTCTTCCTCCCTTCAGGCCTCGTCCCCGCTAACACCCTTCTCCCTTTTGTCCTTCCGCCCGCCATGCCGCTGCTCGAGCGCGCGCACCAGCAGCTGCACGATATCGGAGCGGCTTATAGCGCGGTGCCGTACGATCTGATTGTGGCGGGAAAGGCCCTGGCCACGTCAGCGATAGTGAGGGGAGTTCCGGTGGTGCGTCGCCATTGGCTGCTGAGCTTCTGGGCGTCGTTTCTACTGGCCTATGGCGACTACTCCCTGCCATCGCTGGTCTTGCAGGTCCGCCAGCCTTCTTAGCCTTGTGCTCATTTGCCTGCTCCAAGGGAGAGCATGGCTGGTCTGCAGAAAGTTGGGATGCATAGCCCCCCATTGCAGAAGGCGTTGAGGCATGGAGAGAACGGCTCTAGTGAGATATGCATTCCACCTGCATTGTCACTCAGCGACTATCCCACCAACCCGCCGCCGTTCCTCTGCTTCTGCAGACACCAGCGAACCAACCTCCCCTGCACCCCACCTCCCCCCTGCTCCCCACCTCTCCCCTGCGCTCCACCTCTCCCCTGCGCCTCACCTCTCCCCGGCGCCCCACCTCTCCCCTGCGCCCCACTTCCCCCCCCCGCCCCACCTCTCCCCTGCGCCCCACCTCCCCTGTGCCCCACTTCTCCCCTGCGCCCCACCTCTCCCCTGCGCCACACCGCCACTGCAGACGGATTTCGTGTGGCTCAAGAAGGATATCATCCTCGTCACCTTCGCCATCTGCTGGTAACCTTCGCCAATTGATGTTAACCTTCGTCATCTGCTGGTAACATTCGCCAATTGATGTTAACCTTCGCCATCTGCTGGTAACCATCTTTCTTGAAATATTGGTATCAACTTTGAGCATGTTCTCAGATCCAACTCCTGTAGATTGTCTACAGGAGTTACACCTCGTGCCCGTATCTCGGGTCCTATGCCATAAGTCGCCACATTCCATGCTGCATGCCTTCACTATGGCTATGTTGGAAAATACGCGTATTGCGTTTTATACGCTAGCGTATATACGCTTGCGTATATACGCTATACGCTTGGATTTGGGGTCCAATACGGCAGGAATACGGCTGCCCGGGCAGGCAAAAAAATTTTGCCCGGGCAGGGAAAAAAAACCGGCGGGCAGCCGGGAGAGGGGGGGTGGGGGCCCGGGGGGCAGGGCATCAAGTTTGATTTTTTCTTCTTCTCCATTAAAATAACTTAACACAGGCATTTGTCACATCAAGAGCTTACTGCTAGCCCCTACCACTGCTATCACTGCTGCTACTACTTCTACAGCTGCTGCAGCCACTCTCGCCCACTGCTGCTGCTGACTGGTCCACTGCTGCTGCTGTTACTCCCACTGCTGCAGCTGCCTGCCCCCCTGGTGCTGCCGCTGCCACTCCCCCTGCAGCTGCCTCTGGTGACGGGTCTACTGGTACTCGTCCTCCATGACGAGATCCTCCCCCTCCTCCTCCTCCAGGTCGTCCTCCAGGTTGTACCCCGTGGGCACAGGGGCCTCGGAGCTGCACCCAGGAAGGACCAAGGACCCCCCGTCCTCCTTGTGCCAGTTGTGGACCTGGTGCCAGTTGTGGGACACATAGACCAGGTCCCGACACTTTTCGGCACCGAGGCGGTTGCGCTTGGCAGTGTGGACCGCCTCCCACACTGCCCAGTTACGCTCGCATGCGGCCGCTGAAACGGGCTGTGAGAGCACCCGACAGGCCAGTGCGGCAAGCTCAGGGTAGTCGGACCCATGCCACTGCCACCACCGTGCCATGCTCTGCCTCCCCTCCTTCACTGCTGCACGATCAGCAATGGCGGTGGGGAGCCCGAAGCTGCCCTTCAGAGTGATGAAGGCGTCGAGGCCGTCTTGCATCACGAGGGTTGCACGAATGGGCTCGCCATCCCTCATGAACTCTTTGTCTTCGTAGTGGCGGGCGATGAAGGCTTTGAATACCCTCGTGCACTCCATGTCCGAGGGGAAGATCCCCTCCTCCTGATTGGCCGGGTTTAGGATGCGGCCAACCACATGGAGGGGGCACGCCATGCTGCCGTCCCACCTCCTTTTCACCATGCGGCGGATGGCATTGGCGTCCGCAGCGGTGAGCCCCTCCAGCCGCGCCTCCTCCAGCTTCTCATCGACATCAACGGTGAGCTGCAGCATGAGGTCGTACATACGACCCATCATGCCCTTCGCCGACGAGTCGGTGGCGCGCATTGCCATGAACGGCAGCCGCATGAGGTTGACAAACTGCAGGGCCTTGGTCCACCAGTCAGAGTCGAGTATGGCAGCGCTGAACGCCTCGCTGCCCGGCTTCCTCCCCCCATCCGCGAACCTGGCCCACTCCTCACTCAGCACAAGCTGAGTGAGAGACATCCGCACCTCGCACAGCCGGGACACGGAGATGAATTGGGTGCCGAAACGCGTGCCGGCCGGTTTCAGCACCTGTTTCCCCTTGCCCCCCTCCACCTTATCGCTCCGCATGTAGTTGCGGGTGAGGTGGTGCTTGCGGACGAAGGAGGTGATGATGTTGGCCTTCTCCACCACCTCCTTCGCCCACGCCATCCTCCCGATGTCCTCCATGAGGAGGTCGAGCACGTGCGTGGCGCATGGCACGTGCTCGATGTGGGGGTGCTCGGCGATTAGGATCCTGCAGGCCGCGGCGTAGTTCGAGCCGCCATCCATGCAGAAAGCGACGACGTTCTCCGGCCCAACGCGCTGGATAATAGGGCGGAGAATACCGGCAATATAGCCGCCGGTCTTCATTTCCATGTTTGTGTCCACAGCATCAGTAAAAACTGCTCCGGAGTCGTTGATAAGGAGGACGTTGGCGATGGGCCGGCCGTTCTGGTCCGTCATCATATCGCTAGCAATGGTGACGCCGCTCCGCCGCCAGCTGCTGGAGATGGGAACCAGCGCGGCCTCGATACTGGTGCGGCAGTCGCGCAGGCCGGCACCGCCGATGTACTTGCGCTTCGGGGGAACGTAGGAAGTGCCGGCGCGAGCGATGGCGGAGACCGCATTCCGGAAGAGGACGTGGTCCGCGTGATGCTCCGGCAGGCGCAGACCAGCGAAGAGGAGGCAGAGCGCCCGGTCCGCTTCCTTCTTACGGCAGGCGGACTCGTCACCGAAAAAATTGGTGATGCGCCCCTTTTTGCCGCTGCCGCAGCCGTTAACCGCAGACAGCGCTTGCTCCTCCGCCTCGCGCTTCCCCTCCCGCTCCCTAATTCGTGCCTCGTACAGCGCCTTAACTCCGTCGCGCACGTCTTGCGTCACCGCGGTGCAGAGGGTCACATCGCGACGACGAAGTTTGTTCCACTCGGCGAGGTGCTGCGCGCAACGCGTCATCCCGCCATTGAAGGTGTGCCCGCAATAACAGCAGCGGCGGTTTTCCGTAGTCTTGCCGTCCGCATTAAGCGCGGTTTCGAAATGCTTAAAAATAGGATGCGACGCATCCGTAACGTAAACAGTGCCGGAGGAGGAGGCAGCCTCGCCATCGTTAGTAGGTGCGGGCACGCTCGGGGGGGTTGATGGGGTGGACGACGCCATGACCACTACGGTGAAGTAAGAGGGGAACTGAGCTAAGCTAAGCTAGGGGAGGGAGAGGTTGGAGTTGGAAAATGAAAGGAGATGGTGATTCAGATCTAAACTATGGCGGGAATGGGGGACGACAAACACGGGATGCCTTCCCTCCACGTCCACGGCTGGTGAGGGGTGGGCGAAAAACCGCGGGCGAAAATTTCTGAGAGTTCGCGATGTCGCGAACTCGGCAAAAAAAAATTGTTTTTTTTTTTTTTTTGCCGGGCAGCCCCGATATTGCGTATCGCGTATTCCAAGCGTATCAGCGTATTGCGTATATTCGCAAGCGTATATACGCAATACGCAAAGCTTGCTGTGCGTTTTTTCCAACATAGCACTATGGACATGTACTTGCGAGTGAGCAGGTGGCTGATAACTTATTGCCCTGGGGACATCGGCTACAAGGCGTTCAGCTTCAAACCCATCAAGGTAACAGGGCATCCTGCCATGCCATCGGCTTCGTTTGGCGCGGCTGGGCATCCATTTGGCATGCATGCATTGCACATAGCATGCATGCAGTGCACATAGCATGCATGGAGTGCACATAACATGCATGGAGTGCACATAGCATGCATGGAGTGCACATAGCATGCATGGAGTGCACATAACATGCATGGAGTGCACATAACATGCATGGAGTGCGCATAGCATGCATGGAGTGCACATAACATGCATGGAGTGCACATAACATGCATGCAGTGCACATAACATGCATGGAGTGCACATAACATGCATGGAGTGCACATAACATGCATGGAGTGCACATAGCATGCATGCATTGCACATAGCATGCATGCAGTGCACATAACATGCATGGAGTGCACATAGCATGCTTGGAGTGCACATAGCATGCATGGAGTGCACATAACATGCATGGAGTGCACATAACATGCATGGAGTGCACATAACATGCATGGAGTGCACATAACATGCATGGAGTGCACATAACAAGCATGGAGTGCACATAACATGCATGGAGTGCACATAACATGCATGGAGTGCACATAACATGCATGGAGTGCACATAACATGCATGGAGTGCAAAAGCCATGCATTGAGTGCACAAAACATGCATGGAGAGCACATAGCATGCATGGAGTGCACATAACATGCATGGAGTGCACATAACCTGCATGGAGTGCACAAAACATGCATGAAGTGCACACAGCATGCATGGAGTGCACATAGCATGCATGGAGTGCACATAACATGCATGGACTGCACATAGCATGCATGGAGTGCACATAGCATGCATGGAGTGCACATAACATGCATGGAGTGCACATAACATGCATGGAGTGCACATAACATGCATGGAGTGCAAAAGCCATGCATTGAGTGCACAAAACATGCATGGAGTGAACATAGCATGCATCGAGTGCACATAACATGCATGGAGTGCACATAACATGCATGGAGTGCACATCACATGCATGGAGTGCTTATAGCATGCATGCATTGCACATAGCATGCATGCAGTGCACATAACATGCATGGAGTGCACATAGCATGCTTGGAGTGCAAATAGCATGCATGCAGTGCACATCACATGCATGGAGTGCACATAACATGCATGGAGTGCACATAACATGCATGGAGTGCACATAACATGCATGGAGTGCACATAGCATGCATGGAGTGCACATAGCATGCATGCATTGCACATAGCATGCTTGCAGTGCACATAACATGCATGGAGTGCAAAAGCCATGCATTGAGTGCACAAAACATGCATGGAGAGCACATAGCATGCATGGAGTGCACATAACCTGCATGGAGTGCACAAAACATGCATGAAGTGCACACAGCATGCATGGAGTGCACATAGCATGCATGGAGTGCACATAACATGCATGGACTGCACATAGCATGCATGGAGTGCACATAGCGTGCATGGAGTGCACATAACATGCATGGAGTGCACATAACATGCATGGAGTGCACATAACATGCATGGAGTGCAAAAGCCATGCATTGAGTGCACAAAACATGCATGGAGTGAACATAGCATGCATCGAGTGCACATAACATGCATGGAGTGCACATAACATGCATGGAGTGCTTATAGCATGCATGCATTGCACATAGCATGCATGCAGTGCACATAACATGCATGGAGTGCACATAGCATGCTTGGAGTGCAAATAGCATGCATGCAGTGCACATCACATGCATGGAGTGCACATAACATGCATGGAGTGCACATAACATGCATGGAGTGCACATAACATGCATGGAGTGCACATAACATGCATGGAGTGCACATAGCATGCATGGAGTGCACATAGCATGCATGCATTGCACATAGCATGCTTGCAGTGCACATAACATGCATGGAGTGCACATAGCATGCTTGGAGTGCAAATAGCATGCATGGAGTGCACATAACATACATGGAGTGCACATAACATGCATGGAGTGCACATAACATGCATGGAGTGCACATAACATGCATGGAGTGCACATAACATGCATGGAGTGCACATAACATGTGTGGAGTGCACATAACCTGCATGGAGTGCACATAACATGCATGGAGTGTACATAGCATGCACGGAGTGCACATAACATGCATGGAGTGCACATAACATGCATGGAGTGCACATAACATGCATGGAGTGCACATAACATGCATGGAGTGCACAAGACATGCATGAAGTGCACACAGCATGCATGGAGTGCACATAGCATGCATGGAGTGCACATAACATGCATGGAGTGCACATAGCATGCATGGAGTGCACATAGCATGCATGGAGTGCACATAACATGCATGGAGTGCACATAACATGCATGGAGTGCACATAACATGCATGGAGTGCAAAAGCCATGCATTGAGTGCACAAAACATGCATGGAGTGAACATAGCATGCATGGAGTGCACATAACATGCATGGAGTGCACATAACATGCATGGAGTGCACATAACATGCATGGAGGGCACATAGCATGCATGGAGTGCACATAGCATGCATGCATTGCACATAGCATGCTTGCAGTGCACATAACATGCATGGAGTGCACATAGCATGCTTGGAGTGCAAATAGCATGCATGGAGTGCACATAACATGCATGGAGTGCACATAACATCCATGGAGTGCACATAACATGCATGGAGTGCACATAACATGCATGGAGTGCACATAACATGCATGGAGTGCACATGGCATGCATGCAGGGCACGTAACAGCATGCACATACCATGCATTACCTCATCTTTGGTTCATCTTTGTCTTCCTCATCTTTGGTTGTGATCGCACCGTTCAATTTCTCCGGGTCCAGTCGAATCAAATCCATACCACTTGCGTACGATTTTACACTCCCACCTCTCCCCCCCCCCCCTCGCCACACAGTGTGTCATTACAGCTAGTCTCGAGCAGATCGCCTTCCAGTTTTCCTCCTGCCCCACCTTTCAACAACCTTCCCCACCCCCCACCCCCCCACACCCTTCTCCCCCCTGCTCGCATGCTGCCAGGTCGCCTGCAAGGCAGCATCGGGTTTGGCCCGCACCAACGTCATTCTCTCCATGGTGGGTAAACGCCCCTCTGGTGGCTGCTGCTGGGGAGTGCGCCCTCTGGTGGCTGCTGCTGGGTAGTGTGAGGGAGAGATGGCGTGAGGGAGTGTTGCCAGTGTGCTGCTGCCATGTCCCCTGCAAGGCAGCATCAGGCTTGCCTCACGCCGACGTCATTCTTGGGTCAATGCCCCGTGCCGTGCTGTGCTGGCTGCTGCTGGGTAGTGCACGTGAGGGAGCGGTAGGGTGCAAGCAAGAGAGTTGCATGTGTGCTGCTGTCCGGTGGCTTGTAACGCAGCACCAGGCCTGGCTCGCACGCACCAACGGCATTCACTGCATGCTGCGTGAATGCTCTTTGGCTGGGCCGTGCACTCTGTGGCGGTTATTCCTGGGGAGTGTGAGTGAGGGAGAGTAGGACTGCCAGCAAGAGGGTTGCTAATGTGATGCTGTCAGGAGGTCCAAGAGGCGTCAGCATCCGGCCAGGCCCGCACCAATGTCGTTCTCTCCATGGTGGGTGAATGCCTTGTGGTGGGGATTGCGGGGTAGTGGGAGTGAGGGAGAGTCGGTGTGCAGACGGGGTGCTAGAGCGCTGTCATCATGTGGCCTGGATACCACATCGGGTCTGCCTCGCACCAACGCCATTCTCTGCATTGTGGGTGAATGCCCCGCCGCTATCGCTAGGTAGTTGTGTGAGTGAGAGAGAGTTTCGGTGAAAAAGAACTGCTACTGCGCGCTGCCACCAAACCTGCAAGGCAGCATCACGCCTTGCCCGCCCGCACCAGTCTATTCTCTCCAATGTGGGGCCTCCTGAGGTGGGGACCTTTCTGCTCCCACTTGAGAGAACCAAGGTGGAGCAGGACAAGCAGACGGTGGAAACGCATCGGCACTAAAGCCTCTTAAAGAAAGTACCCTCGTGAGATGTTGCAAGGGGAGGTGAGATGTTGCAAGGGGAGGTGAGATGTTGCAAGGGGAGGTGGTGAGATTTGGCCCGCTGCTGAGTTTTATCCTCTTGACTCTTGAGTTGCATGGCCCTGTATCCCATGCTGTGCGCATCGCATCCCAGGTGGATGCGGCGGTGAAGCACTTTGGCCCACATCTCATCGTGGCGCCTCTCTTCATCGGGACTCTCAGCGGTGCGCTCTGCTATCGTGGCTCGTGCTGCTGCATTGCGTCACATGTGTGCATGCAGGCATGCAGGGATGGCTGATTGTGTGCCGCGTCAGTATGTTATCAGGAGTTGCATCAGTCGGTGGTTTGTCATGTTGTCGTTCTGCTGTTGGTCTTTTGTGCCGCATGCATGCACGCATGCTTGGATGCACGCTCGGATGCATGAAAGGGTGTAGTGTGTTTCGTTTATGCTGATAGTCGGGACCAATGGGGTGTACTTTGAGCAAGGGTGCATGTGACTAGGTCTATAATGTGATGCTCCCACCTCTACACCCTTCCTCCAGGCATTAAGGGTTGCATCGGCTTGAACAAGGCCTTGTCCCCTCTCCACGCTCCACCCTCCACCCTCCACCCTCCACCCTCCACCCTCCACGTGCACTCTCCACTCTCCAATCTCCTCTCACGCTGTTGAGCCAACTCATCTACCATATTAACCTCACCTCCGTCCCTCTCCTCCGTCCCTCTCCTCCGATTCTTTTCTTCTTCCTCGCCCCCTTCCCTTTCCACACGGCCTCTAGGTTGTTGAAACCACCTTATCTACAATGCTGTGCTTCTCTTTCCAACCCGAGTTACTGCCTCTCCTCTAATCTTCCTCCTCCCAGTCTCCTCCCTCCCAATTCAGGCTGTGGTTGCAGACCTGTGCCCTTCTCCTCGTTGACTCTCCCTGCCAAATCCCTTCCCCGCATTGTCCCTCCTCCCAATCTCCCCCGTCCCCCCATGCAGGCTGTGGGGGGCGCCTTATCTACGGAGCTGTGCTCTTCGCCGTCGCTCCCTCTGCCTGCAGCCACCCTGAGCTGCTCTACCCCTCATGGTGGGCGTTCCTGGTTGGGACGCGCAAACAAGAACTGCTCTTCTTCTTTCCTGTTCCCACGTCTACTCTCTCATCTCTGCCGTTCGTTCCTCCTTCCACTTGCCGCTGCCTGTCCCTCTTTCCATTATGGATCCTGTAGACGCACAACGCTTGTTGTGCTGCTACCGATGGGTGAGGGTTCGGGTTAGACCCCTCGTGCCGACGTATTAGTCAAGCCCTCCGAAAAGGGTTGCACGTGCCTCACCCTGGGCGTAGATATTCCTACCTCGTTGACCCAGCGAGGGGTGTAAAACATTGGGAAGGCGGGTTACGACCGACAGCCGGGGGCAACACCCAGGGGGGCTCCTCCCCCCTCTTTACCTTGACCTCTTTCCGTCGTTGCCTGTTCGAAAGAAAAGGGGCCAGAGGGGGTTTATTTCTTCGATTCTGATCGAAAGCAGAGCCAGAGCCATAAAGCTGGCAGTGAGGAGCTCCATTCTGCACCCCACCATCCCCTGCCTCACCCTTCTTCTTGCCTCTCTTCCCCACCCACCTCACCCCCTCCTCCCCTTTCACCCCAGGTACTCTCACTCCGCATTCCTTGTGTCTATCGTCTACACCCTCGCGGTCCACTGGATGGCCGTGTGCTCCCGAGATGCTGCCTATGGCGCCATCGCCACTTTCATGGTATGAAAACGTGCTGTCTCGCTGCTTGCCGCTTGCTACCTTGCTTCTCTTTCCTCTCCCCCTCCCCTACTCTCGTTTACCCCATCCGTTCAGTGCCCTACCGCGTGCATTGGAGAGTGCTGCTGCTGTGCTGATAGGGATTATTGTGGCCTTGGCGGGGCCGCCTTCCTGGTCACTCGTTTCCTCCTTTCCATGCTTCTCACACCCTTCTTCCCACCTCCCCACCCTCCCCCCTCCCCACCCTGCCTGCTCCTCCCACAGTGTACGGCAGGCCTTAAATTGCCCTCACCGCCTCATCCCCCCTAAACCAAGCCCCCGCCTTCCCTGCCTTCTAACCTCCCCACCTTCCCTTACTGTCTAGGGGCTCGCAGCGCATGGGAGGTCGTCTCAGGCTCACCCCGCTTCGCCCCCCACCCCCTGCGTTCCCTTCTCCCCCTCTCAGGTGGCCGCATGGGTGGGAGGGCATCTCACGACTTGTGAGTCAATTCAAAAGTCATCCCCCACTCCCTGTGTTCCCCTTCCCCCTCACAGGTAATTCACAGCACGAGGGGGTCATCTCATGACTCCTGAGTTGATTTGAAAGTCACAACCCACGACCTGCATTCCCGTCGCACCTCTCAGGTGGCCCACAGCGCGTGGGAGGCCGTCTCAGACTCGCATCTGGACCCCTCGGCTCCGCTCTTCTCCCTCTTCCACTCCGTGCTGTGAGTCCTCTCACCACCCCCCTCTTCCACTCCGTGCTGTCAGTCCTCTCACCACCCCCCTCTTCCACTCCCTGCTTTCCGCCTTGCGACCCTCTCCTGTACCTTTCCTTTATTATTGCGCTTAAGACCTGTGGTCCGTTGTATCACCCTCACCTTCCCCCCATTGCACCATGAAGTCATTGCCGCATCCCCTCCGCATTGTAGTCCACATTCAGCACGCTACAAGGATGTAGAACGGAGTCTGGCCGGAACGGACGAAGAGCGAGGGGGCTGCAGACGAAGGGAAGAACTGCAAGTCAGCAAGTGTAGCACGCAGCGTGTCGTGCCACTCACGGGCCGCCTGTCGCAAGCCGTAGACGGGGCGCCGGAGGAGCCACTCGGTGTCAGGGGGAAAGGTACCGGAGAAGCCCTGGGGGCGGCGCAGGTAGACCTGCGCGTGTGAAGCATCATCGTGTCTCCATCACTCACCCTCCCCTTTCTCCATTTCTCCCTCTCCCTCTCACGCCCATCCCTCCCCCCCCACTCCAGGCGCATCCCACCCCCTCCTGCAATCCTCCACTCCTCCCACGACGCCCCTCCCGCTCACTCCAAGCCCCGTGAAAGTGACACGAGCGCGCCAGCATCCGACAGCACCGACAAGCAATCACCTGGCACCAAGACTGTGTCATCATCCCAACCCCTCGGCCAAGACCCAAGCCTTGCCAATGGAGGCACCGACGGGGAGGGCAAGGCGAGCCGCGGCGAGCAGAAGGCTTTCAGGCGCCCTCGGAGCAAGAAGGCGTAGGTCGTACCTGCCATCCGCACACGCATCCTTGCCGCCCGGAGTGCAGCAAGGACACAGACACGGGAAGGCAAGGCGGGGCTGAGGGTGGGGAAAGCATGGCGTTACGAGGTACGGCAGAGAAGGGGGGAGGGTGGCTGGCAAGGCCTTGAGATTGAAGTGCAGGAGAGCAGGGTCATGACTCATGACTCATGACTCACGGCTTATGACTCATGACTCATGACTCATGACTCATGACTCACGGCTTATGATGCATGGTACTGCTCCTGAGGCGCCTCAAAAGCGCCATGCCATGCCACGGTAGTGTAGTGTAGATGGTGGCCCGGTTGAAAGGGCGGTGGATCCTAGTGTCACCTTTTCAGCCCCTCCTCTTCTCCGCCCCATAGCCCACGTCCGCTGCCCTTTTATCTACATGTCTAATTTATCTGCTGGTCATTGTCACAAGTACTTTTCAGTGGGTACCGCCGATAAGTGCCAACATTCTTTTATAGACTTGCATTTTGCAATGCAATATTGTTTTATTCCTTTTAAAGGGTGTTGAACTTCACCCCTTTCCCTTTCAACACCATATCCTTGGCATTACTTGTTGCAGTCTCTATCAGTATTTCTATTCAGATGGACACACAAGTTACAGCTACTACAACCCCCAGATGCTGTAACAGATCTTGAAGAATAACAGGAATAGCACATTATAGCAATAAGGTGCAAACTGTATTATTGTACTGGTAGAGTTTGTTTCGCTTTTACCGTATGTTCTCGTCAACCCAACAAAACTGTGCTCTGCTCACACATCCTGGCTTGGCACGGCCGTATGCCCACTAAAGAAGCAAACGGGGAGGCACTTGCAGTCAAACAGAGGGGCCTGGGAAAAACTTCCTCCCCTGGGCCTCCTCCCACCCACGGAGCAAACTCCCTCCAATGGGTTGCCGCCTAGGTTACACAGACATCTCCTCCCAATGCCCTCACCTCTCCCCCTGCCCTCACATACCCTGGCGGCGCAATCGCATGTGCCCGCCATAGACAAGACGCCGCCAGGGAGGGCCCTGGAAACACCTCCTTTTCCTGGGTCTCCTCCCACGCCGCAAAATCCCTCACAAGCTCCTGGTTTGCCAGGCTACGGGGGCAAAGCTCCTCCCTGCTCTCACATATCCTGGCTTGGAGACGCCCTGTGCCCGCCAAAGAAGCTGCCGGGGAGGCACTTGCGGTCGAAGGGCCCCGGGAACACCTTCTTGCCCTGCGCCTCCTCCCATGATGCAAACTCCCGGAAGCGGATGGGCGGCTTGCCGAATATGTGGAGGAATTGGAGGCGCTTCTTGCTGCTGTTCACCAGCTGAAGGAAAACCGAGGGGGGGGGGGAAGAAGGGGGGAAGTGAGGGCGATTGAAATGAGGGCACTTGCCGAAAGTATGGAGGAACTGCAGGCGCTTCGTGCTGCTGTTCACCAGCCGAAAGGAGGAACGGCAGTGAAGTAAAATTGGGCGGAGGGAAGCACAGTGAAGGAAGGGTGTAGGGTAGGTGAAGTGAGACGCAGTTCAGGGGGTGGGGTGATGCTTCGCACACGAGTGAAGTAGAACGGAGTGGCTTACAACAGCTGGTTCCTGGAAAATGCCATGGGTCTTAGTACACCTCTCAAACCCCATAGCACACCTCTCAAACCCCATTGCACACCTCTCAAACCTCATAGCACACCTCTCAACGCCCATAGCACTCCTCACAAGGCCCATAGCCGATCTCACAGGGCAACAGCTTGGGTGCTTTTCCAAAGAGCACCACTATTCGCATCATAAGTTAGCCGGTGAACAGCACTAATCGCATCAGATGGTTGTTTCTGAACCGTGTAACTTGTTGCAAAGCACACCTGGTGAAACAGTGTGTTGTGCTATAGGTGTTACCTGGTGAACAGTGTTTCTGGGAATGATGACGGTGGAGTTGGCCCGAAAGGGTGTGGACTCAAAGGGAGCAGGGGACACGTGATCCGTGTGGTTGGGGCGGAAGCGAAGGGCGCCCTCCCCTCTCAGCACCACCACCACTGTGTCCTGGCGGGGTGTGGATGGGGGGTTGGGTGGGGGGGGAGCGAGAGATGGCAGACGACCATTGGCGAGTGGTAGAGGGGAAGCAGCGGGAGGGAAATAGAGGGGGGGAAACGGCAGACGACCATTCGCGAGTCATAAGCAATGCACGTGTCTGGCGCCCTCCCCTCTCAGCACCACCAGTGCGGTGTCCTGGCAAGGCAGGAGAGGTGCTCATGACGAGGAGGGACGAGCGGAGAAGTTCAAAAGACTGCAGACGGATCCACGGAGCAAACAAAGGAGCACCTGATTTTTATTTTTATTTTTATTTTTATTTTTATTTTTATTTTATCACAGACGAAATTGAATTACCACCAGTGGAGTGTATTCCAGGGGCCAGAATATGAAGCACCTGTTCTTGCCTTATTCACAGACGAAGTTGCACCATCGGTGGAACCTACTCTAGGGAGCGAGAGATAGAACCAGCACAGGGATGCCAGATGACAACCTATCCTACAGAAGAAGGAGCACGGAATACAGCGGAAGGCACCTCTATAAAGCAACGTGCGTGCACGAGGTGTAGCATGGTGTCACGATTCACAACACACACATCAGAGAAACTTAGCCCGCCTGCCCCTCACGCCCAAGCAACCTACCTGTTCTTGCCTGCACACACTGGTGCCATGGCATGCGGCCGGGACAAGCCTCTGCAGCCCCACTAACGGCCTCTTTGCTGCACTGGCTGCTCTCCACTGCACGCATTCCCATCAACGACTCAGGAGCGTACCTGCTGCCTGATGTGGCCTGGGAACACTCATGGCGTAGCCCGCGTGAGCGAACGTCTGCAGCCACACCTCCCCGCCCAGCCTGCTGCACTACCTGCACTTGACTGCTCTGCCCCTCTCTCCCCCCTCGCCCGCACCTGCTCCTGGCCGCACGCACTGCTCCTTGCACCCATGTCCACGCACCTGCTCCTGGCTGCGCACGTTGGTGGCGTAGCCCGGGGCGAACGTCTGCAGCCACACCTCCACGCCCTTGTTGCCGTGGTGCACCGCACCCGACAGCGTCACGTGCACCAACCCGCCGAAGCCGAAGTTCTCTGGAGGCAGCAATGGGAGTAAGCAACGGTAGGGGTGGTGGCACCAAATCTCTCTGGTGATAGCAGCAATGGCAGCGATGGCGGCACGTTGATCCAAGGCAAGGGTGGGGGGGAGAAGGACCGCGGGGTGTGGGAGAGGGGAGGAAGGGCATGCACGGAGCTAAGAGCGTACAACAGCCACAGAGGAGACCTGTTGGCCGTTGGAAAGGGATATTTGAAGGGCGTAAAAAACCGTCTCGGCGGTTTTCATGCGGGCACACCATCCTAAGACGGCTGGACGTGCGCAGTGTGGCAGGCGATCAACAATCCGCGCTGCGGCAGCCATGGACGACCCCTTAGAGCCCTCACCTCGTCGCATTGCCTCTCACTTCATTTGCGCGCAGCAGACAGGCCATGCGTGATTGGTGTTGGAAGTGGTTCGCGCTTGCTCCTAGTCAACGCGTGGCAGCATGGCGTAAGCTAGGTGGCAGTATGGCAGCGCTAACAGGTGGCGTAAGCTGAAGACTACATACGGGTGCGCTAGGTGGTGAGGGGCTGCAAGGTTACGTGTTGGAAGGAGGAGGTGTTTGGGACATGCGGAGGACTTGTGAGCGACGAGCGGAATTTGGTACAGTGACGCGGTGTTCGGAGGAGCAGAAATGCGGTTCGGTTATATTGTGTGAAATGCGGTTCGGATGTGCGCAACGCAATGTCCTGTGTCTTAGGAAATGTTTTCATATAAATCTGTTTCTTTGTATCTCTTTGTATATAGTGAATCTGGAAATTCTCTCTCACGTCGTGCTGCCTGTTTGCAACCAGAACTTGACTGGTGGCGTTAAGACTACCCTTAGTACTTGCGATAGTGCTGTCGGGAGTCTGTTTGGAGTGTAAGAACGACCTGAGAGTAGCGAGAGCGCTGCCGGAAATTCTAACAATTGGGCCATGCACGCGTCAGGCCATGGGTGATTGGGCCATGCACGCGTCAGGCCATGGGTGATTGGGCCATGCACGCGTCAGGCCATGGCTTGATATAGGTTGGGACAGGGTGCTGTGCCACGGTGTTATTCTGGTACAGGTAGCACTTCAGCCGCACTTACCGTGGTATAGCGTGCTAATCTTCAACAAGTACCTCGGTGGTACAGATGGTGAAATTCCGAGGTCGCGGAGCCATTGCTCATGAAATAGGGCTAGCAGCGTGATTATACAAAAGCTGTCTCTAGTAAAAAATCAGTATGCTGCAGCAGAGGGTAGAAGGACTGACCGTACCCTGGTACAGCTTGTTAATCTTCTGCACCACGGGTCGCTCCGTGAAGCACATGGGCTGCGCGGCCACGCGACGCGAGGCACACGAGAACGCAACGACGCAAACAAGCGCGAACGCGAACGCATGGGGTCTGCTGACGAAATCTGACGGTCGCGCCGCCATCATTCAGCCGACCGGCGAATTGATCGGCCGGCTGACCGCGGGGATCTGACCGGCAGCACGGAACACGAGGAAAACTAGAGGAAGTACTTGGGGTGGTCGGAGAAAGGGAGAAGGCGCGAGAGCAATCGGCGATGGAGGGTAGAATGCCTGACCTGCTGGCAGTCGGTATTCTCAAGGTGACTCAGGGCGCCATCAGACTTGGTAGGAGGCCTTGTATGGGCTTGGGACGGAGTAGCAGGAATTCAGTGTGTCCAAGTGAATCTGTGCGGTGCAGTTCGGTTTGCACAAGGTACAGAGGAAGAGCTGTCCCTCCAGCATCCCCCTCACTGTACTAGCTATCAGCGCGAAGCTCTGGAATTTTCGGATTCGTTCATCTTCGACAAGCATTCAAACTGGACTCGAATCCAAGCTTATAAATTTGTGAAAGCACACTTCTCTTCATATTTTTTTGCTAAAGGGGACCTCCCAACCACCCACCCACTAACTAGGGCTGTTTTTCTTATTCTGACTCATACTGTAGACGGTGCAAAACCACCCCGTTCCTAGCAGCTGCATTTCGTCCCCACCGACCCAGGCGTGGCTCCTGCAGACAAATAACACGAGGGGAGGTGGAGACGGTGGTGGGGGGGGGCACATGGGAGCTAGCTAGAGCATTGGTACCATGACTTTTAGAGGATGGAGTGGGGGAAAGCATCGTAAAAAAAAATGGGGTGGGGGGAGGGGGTTACAAACACACCCCTCAGTGCCAGTAAGAAAACAAATGCCAACAAAAGGCAAAGGTGTCAGAGGTACTACTAACCTGCCCAATGCCTGCGATGACAAAGTCGGATCGATGAGCAAAGGCAATGGCGTTAATGAAGCCAACCTGTAAGAGTGGGTGTAAGCAGAGTGATGGGGGAAAAGGTCGAGCTTGAGGGGGCGGCAGGGAACAGGTTCAACGACACTACAGCAAGGAGGCGCACGGCGTGAACAAGGGAGAAGAGGGACAGCTAAGGGGAAAGCGGGGCGGGAAAGGGCAGGGGCAGGGGGGGGGTACGAATCTGAAGAGAAGGATGATTGTGAGCACAGATGCTGCCACCAGTGCTGATCTGCGTTCCAATATCTCCTCTAGCAAACGTACCGTAGGAAGAGAGCCAACTGGGCGCAGGCGGTTCGCTGACGAGTCGCAATGCCAGAGCCTAAGAGCGCCGTCTCCCGCCCCACTGGCTGCCAGGTCAGCTCCGGGTGCCACGGCCACAGCCCCCACCCACGACTGCACAGCACTCCCTGGCACCGCTGGTGGTGAGACCGCAGGGGCAGATTCGGCAGCACCAAAGGGAACAGCAGCAGGGGCAGCAGCAGCATCCGCTGGCTCCTGGGACGAGATGCCGTTCGGAAGCCCACCATGAGCAGCGTCAGCAGGTGCAGCAGAAGCTGTTGCAGCAGCGGTTGTTGCACCAACGGTTGTTGCACCAGCGGTTGTTGCACCAGCGGTTGTTGCACCAGCGGTTGTTGCAGCAGCGGTTGTTGCAGCAGTGGCGCCTGGAGTGCCAACAACGCCAGCGGCTGCAGCGGGCGGCATGATGCCATGGGCGGCTCTGACGACGTGCACGGGCTTCTTCTTGAGCGCCGACCATAGCGACAGCGACCCGTCATCCCCGCCCGTGATGAAGGCAGAGGGGGAGAGGAACGCGCACGAGTCCAGACACGAGGTGGCGGGCGCTCTGAACACGAGCTGGGTTTCTTCAGGCACCTGATGCACGGGGAGAAGGAGGAGGAGGGAGTAAGGCAGCACATGGGCGGCTCTGACAGACACGCACAAGCTTCTTCTTGAGTGCGGACCACAGGGACAGTGAGCCATCGCCAGGAGGGCAACACGAAGGAACACGAGTCCAGGCACGACGTGGCGGGCGCTCTCAGCACCAGCTGGGTCTCCTCGGGCACCTGATGCACGTGGAGGGACGGGAAGAAGCGGGCAAGGTGCAGCCTATCCGGTCGAATGTGGCTCTCCTCAGGTGACTGACACGATTGGACAAAAGGGGAGGCGGAAAGCCTGATACCTGCATGGGCTCTGCCTCAAGCAGCCGAGGGCTCTGAGACCCCCTCCAGGCATGCCGCGAGTGCCATATCCCACGAATATACCTCCCCACACCTACTTTACCTCCCAAACCTTCCCGCGCCACAGAACCACTCTTCACAGCTCCCTCAGAACATGCCACAGATAAAACCTCCCCCAAACACACCCCCCCCAGCCCACATTTTCCCAAACTCGTTCCTTTCACCCACCTTCCACAATCTGCACGTCCCTCTGCGGCTGCCTGAGCGCCTGCCACACCAGACAGCACCTCCCCCTGGAATACACCCCCCCCCCTCCCCCCCCCCCCCCCCCCAACACCCACCCACTTTCCACAGTCTGCCCGTCCTGTCTCTTGCCACAGAAACCACACTCTGCGGCTGCCTGGGGCACGCAGAGCCACTATTTGACAGCCCTCGTCACACCCACCCTCCACAGTGTGCAGGTGCCATCACAAGCCACGGACAGCGCCGTCGGCAGCTGCCTGCGAGCATGCAGAGCCACCACCAACCCTCCGCCCTGCAACCCCCATTCCCCGCCACATCCCTTACACCTGCCTTCCACAGCCTGCACTGCGTCCCACCACCAACAGCATAGATCACTCCATGTGGCTGCCTGAGGGGATGAAGAGCCACTATCCCTCTGCCTGGTCGCTGCACTCCCCCCCCCTCCCCCCTTGTAGAAGGCGCTTACTGCCCTCAACCCACCTTCCAGAGTCTGCAGGTACGGTCGTGGGCAACAGACACCACCCTCTGCAGCTGCCTCAAGGCGTGCAGCGCCACTATCTCTCTGCCTAAACCCTGCAACCCATACTCCCCACCTTTGTCCTCACACCCACCTTCCACAGTCTACACGTCCTGTCCCGCGCCACAGACACCACCCTCTGCGGCTGCCGCAAGGCGTGCAGCGCCACTATCTCCGCCTGGTGGCCGAACAGCGAATCCATGTACGCCACGTCAGCGCAGCTCCACAGCTTGATGCTGCGGTCGGCAGACGCCGAGAAGAGGTCGAGCGAACCCGGCCGGAAGGAGAGCGACAGGACTGCTCCCCTGTGGCCGGAAAAGGACTGGTTGGAGGGGGGGGGAGAGGAGAGGAGAGGAGAGGAGAGGAGAGGCGAGGAGAGGAGACGAGAGGAGAGGAGACGAGAGGAGAGGAGAGGGGGGGGAGGAGGGAGGGGGGTAGGGAGAGGGTGAGAAAAGGCAGCAACATGGATGCGCCCCTGCGGGCGGAGAAGGACTGGGGAGAAAGGGAGGAGAGTATTTGAGGACGGGGGGGCAAGAACGGACAGAGGTATTCACGACAGGAAAGGGCAGAAGAGGTGGGGGGAAGTAGGGGTTAAGGAAAAGGGGGGAACGAGAGAGGAGGGATTCGGGCGAGGCCATGGGGAGGAAACGGCGGATGAGGTAGGGTCAGGCGAGGGGTGGACTGTGCAGCCTCGCATGGCAGCTGAGGCCAGACGCACGCAAGAGTTAGGCGGCAACAGCACTCACTCACGGCGGTGGGCTGCACAACGGGAATGCCGGACTGGCCGAGGGGAATGCCGGACTGGCCGAGGGGAATGCCGGACTGGCCGAGGGGAATGCCGGACTGGCCGAGGGGAATGCCGGACTGGCCGAGGGGAATGCCGGACTGGCCGAGGGGAATGCCGAACTGGCCGAGGGGAATGCCGGACTGGCCGAGGGGAATGCCGGACTGGCCGAGGGGAATGCCGGACTGGCCGAGGGGAATGCCGGACTGGCCGAGGGGAATGCCGGACTGGCCGAGGGGAATGCCGGACTGGCCGAGGGGAATGCCGGACTGGCCGAGGGGAATGCCGGACTGGCCGAGGGGAATGCCGGACTGGCCGAGGGGAATGCCGGACTGGCACAGCTCGAATGGGTCGGATGGGTGGGATGGGTGGGATGGCTCGAATACCCCTGGCTGACAAATCAGGAGTGCTTTGCTTCGTCCGCCCTGAGTCAACGGTCTGCTCTCGTCGCCATTACAACCCCCCCACACCCCCCCCCCCCACCGCCTGCCCATCTCCATTCAACCCCCTATCAACATACTCCTAAACCCTGACCCCCCGCTCTCACCTGCACATGATCTTTCGTCCACAGGTGCACCATGCGGTCACAGCCTCCCACTGCTGAGTACCCTTATGTCCTAGCCCCTAACCATATGCTATAAACTCCTAACCTTAAACCCAAACCTCCGACCTCCCCGGCCCGGCTCTCACCTTTACGTGTGCTCTGGTCCGCGCGTCCCACAGGTGCACCATGCGGTCATGCCCTCCCGCTGCTAAGTACCGCCCGTCGTCGCTCACACTCACGCTTAGCAAATGCCTACTGCTCTTCCCCCCCTTCCCCTTAGCTCCCCCTCCCCCCCCTCCTCCGCCTCCCACCACACCGCCTGCCCCACCCCCATCCGACCGGGATTTGGGGTTTAAGTTTTCCGGCCAGGGGAACTTAAAGCTCGTTCCAGATTCCACGTCCCAGCCGATTATTAGCCCGTCTTTCGAAACAGCAAAGCCCGTTCTGTCGTCCAATGAGAGCGCGACACCTGTCACGGACTGCCTGTGTCTGCGTCCCACTGACTGGCCTGGCGTTGCTGACGTGGAAGGGATGTATCTCGTCGCGATTCGGCGGATCACCCTGCCGCTCTCTTCTAACGCATCCTGCTTCAATCGGGCCGCTATTAACGCGTCCTGCTCCTCTCTTAAACCCTCGTCCCCCTCGTCCCCCTCCCCCCCATCGTCTTCATCCCCTTCCTCCCCCTCATCCTCCTCCTCTTCGCTTTCCCCTTCCCCATCAATCCCCCCCTCCCCGTCTCTATCTTCCGCCTCTTCCGCCTCTTCTTCCGCTTTCTCCCGCGCTGCCAGCGCCGCAGCCCGCTTCACTTCCGACAGGTACGACCGCGCAATGCGCAGGCGTTTCGCCTCCGCGCTCTCCACCACGCGCGCATCCTCCCCTTCCCCCTCCGATCCGAGCTCCGCGTCGTCCTCCGCCGCCTCTTCCGCCCGCGCGAAAAAAGACTCCTCCCTCTCCCCGTCGTCAATTAACTCGTTCCGCGCTCTTTTCCGCCCGGCTCCCCCTCCCCCCGCGCGACCCCTTCCGCCAGAAGCTGTTCTTCCGCCTCTGCCCCGCCCGCCACCGCCCCCCGATCTTCCCCCACGCCCCCGCCCACGGTCACCGCCGCGGGCGCGATACATCCTGCGCCGGCGATTGGCCCAGATGAGCGGCAGCGGCCCCTCGTCTCCGACGCGAACTCACACGAGCACACTCGAACCCACGCAAACTCGCGCAATTCTAAGAGCCGTTGCGATATATCCTCCCTGCAAGCATACAAGTGCCCCGGAAGCCAACGTACTGCTCAACAGAACGGTCTACCTTCGCGGCCTGTGGGGAGGGAGAAGGGTTCAACCTATCCCCAGCTATAAGCTGGAGGTTTAGGGCACTGAAAGAGGCGAGTGAGCTATGAATCCGTATTGGACGCGTTATTGCACAATGGTCAATAAGAATCCAGGTCTGTGAGGTGGACGGCAACATATCAAGACTCATTCTCTTATATCGTTGTGAGGTGAAAAGGTTTCTTCAAAATCCAACCATCCCATAATAATCAATGTGTCATATATTCGTATCCAGAGAAATGAAAAAGGTGTCCCAGGACAAATATTTCAACCAAAAGCCTAGACACCACCCTAGAGCAAATATTAGCATGGGATATTGCTCTCCAACACCATCATCTCCTATGCCATACTGCTCACGCATTTACTTCCATAGAAAAAACCCAGAAAGCTCAACCCCCGAGCAGATCCACAAAGCACCCCACCCCATGATGCAAAACCCTACCCATCCCCTCAGCGCCTCACCACGAAACCCCATCCCTTCAGCACCCCACCCAAGCCATTCTACCCATTCCCTCAGCACCCCACCACACAGAACTGCCCGTTACCCGATGGCCAGGAGCAGGAGGGCGGGCCGGCAGCGTAGTCGGGCACACGGGGCACTGCCACAGCGGTGCCGCCGAAGAAGCAGGTGCCGGGGCGCCGTCCATTCTGCTGGAAGTAGGCGTTGAAGGCGTGCGACGCATGCACTACCAGCGCGCCCTCCCCCTGCCCCTGCCAGCACGCCCCTCCCGGCAGCACGGCCGAGCAGTCCACCCCGCCGGGCCCACACGCCCAGTCCAGCGCCCTCTGCACGGCGCCCATGTCCGCCCGGCAGACAGGCGCGGGCGGGTAGAACGGCTGAACGGGGTCAGGGGGGTGGTACACAGGGTTCCGGGGGACGACTGCCACCTCCTGGCAGCCTGCAACACAGTACTGGCCGTTGGAGGAGGGGAAGGAGCAGGTGGGCGGTGCAGCGGCGTAGTTTGGAACGCGCGGCACGACCACCGCGTTGCCGCCGAAGAAGCAGGAGCCGGGGCGGTGGGCGTGGCTCTGGAAAATGGCGTTGAAGGCGAACGACGCGTGCAGCGGCACGTTGCCAGCTTGGAAGCATGCACCACCAGGCTGGATGGCTCTGCAGTCAGCGCCCCCGGGCCCACACGCCCAGTCCAGCGCAGCCTGCAGCGAGCCGGGGGCCACACCGCAGCGTAGGTGAGGGTGGATGTGGGGGGGAGTGTAGACGGGAGGGGTGGTGGGAGGAGTGATGGGGGTGACGGTGGGGGGAGTGGTGGTGGGAGGAGTGGTGGGAGGGGTGGTGGGAGGGGTGGTGGGGGGAGTGGTGGGAGGACTGCTGGGGGGGGCGATTGGAGGGGTAGGGCCGCCATCAGTACCACCATTGCCGTCGATGGGAGTGACATCATCGGCATCGCCATCATCGTCGTATGACCCCTCGCCTGCTTCTGAATCCTCGTCTCCTTCCACTCCACCACCGCTGCCAGTACTACCACCGCTGCCCGTGCTGCCACCACTGCCGGTGCTGCCACCGCTGCCCGTGCTGCCACCACTGCCGGTGCTGCCACCACTGCCGGTGCTGCCACCGCTGCCCGTGCTGCCACCGCTTCCAGTGCTGCCTCTGCTGCCGGAGCTACCAGCACCACCAGGAGGGGCGATGGGCGTGAAAACGTCCTCATCGCCATCGGCTGCTGCAGGTTCCACGTCGTCGCTCTCCTCTTCACTGCTGCTCTCACTGTCGTCACTGCTGGCGCTACCACCAGTACCAGTGAAGCCACCACTGCCGGTGCTGCCACCACTGCCGGTGCTGCCACCCCTGCTGGTGCTGCCACCACTACCCGTGTGGCCAGCACTGCCCGTGAGGCCACCACTGCCTGTGCTATGACCACTCCCTGTAATACTGGCCCGGCCGTAACCGCCAGAACTGTCGGTGCTGCCACCACTGCCACCATCACCCGCACTCTCAACCAAGGTGCTGTGCTTCGCCGCTTTTGCTGCAGGCACGGCCACCACACCTGCTCCCGAGGCTTGGACTGCCTTGGCTCGGGACGAACCTGCGTGCAGCTTCGGTGCCACGTGGGCTGAGGGGCGGCGGTTACCATTGCGGTGGCCTGGACTGGCATGGGCCGATCCACCGTGGTGGTTGCCCGGATTCCGGACTCGCCTGGCTCGGGAAGTCGAGGCTCGGTGGGCGCCAGTTCGGGAGCTGACCAGAGGCTTGTACGCTGCGTCGGTGCCGCCAGTGTCAGCAGCATAGTAGTCACCACCAGCGGAAAAATCGGAGCCGTTCGAAGGGGATTCAAACGAATCAGAATTATAATCGCCGCTTCCATCACCGCCCTCCCATGTGCCACTATCGCTGCCCGTGCCATCATCCCAGCTTCCTCCCGAACCATCGTCCCAACCTCCGCCCGAACCATAGTCTGAGGCTCCACCCGAACCATAGTCCGAGCCTCCGCCCGAAGCATAGTCCGAGCCTCCACCGGAATCCACATCCCAGCCTCCTCCAGAGCCATCATCCCAGACTCCGCCCGAACCATCATCCCAGCCAGCATCCGAACCGTCGTACCAATTCGCACCCGAATCTTCTTCCCAGCTTCCGCCCGAACCATCTTCCGAACCTCCTTCCGAGCCATAATCCCAGGTTCCATCCGAGCCACCGTCCGAGCCACCGTCCGAGCCATAGTCCCAGCCGCCCATCCTTTGGTTCTGCTCATCTATGGCGCCCAGCATCGGCCAATCTCCCCCTCCCCCTGAGCTCTCCTCGTCCATTCCGCTGTCGGAGCCGGCACCCGAGTCAGTATAGCCCGCCATAATCCCTCCCGGGGGACCTCCCATCTGGGCGTTCTGCTCCGCCATAGAGTCCAATATCGGGTTACTATATCGAACCACGCTGTGCTGCTGTCGAGGCGCCGCGCTGTGATGGCGTCGGCTGTGGCGACGATGGCGCCTTTCCGGACGCCCGAGCCGCCTCATGCTGTCGTACGCCGCACCGCCGCCGCCGCCACCGCGGCTGGAGGAGCTGCGAGGCACCTCCTCGACAATCTCCACCACGTCGCCGTCGCGGTCAGTCCCGTCGAAAACTTTTACTCGATGCCCCGTGCCGCGGTCAAACTGGATCCTTCCGCCGTCGCTGTCCGCAAGAAGCTCGCGCGGACGGAACCTCGGCCCGCCGCCGAGCCTGGCCGGGTGACCGGACCTGTGACCTCCGAGCCTCGGCGCGTGGCTCGGAACAAGCGCCCTGGCGAGCGAATGCCGCGGCCGACGCCCTAAGACTTCGATGGGCGGAGTGGTGGCGGAGGCGGGGGAAGGCGGAGTCGGAAGATTGGGGCTCCTGGCCGCGCGGAATCCGTGCAGCCACGCGCCCGTTGGGCGCAAATGGTGGCGATTGTGGTTGCGGTGCTGGCCGTGCGCCACGCGCATGGGCTCGGCGCGCCTTGGTGCGTGGTGGCCGGGGAAGAACCTACCGCGGCCTGCGACGGCTTGGAGAGTGCATGCGACGAGGAGGAAGATGACTGCGACGCGTGATGACGCCATGACGACTAACCTAGGGCAGCGCCCTAGTACCTTGGGGCATACGCTACTATGCGGCGAGCCTTTTTCCTTAAAAAAAAACCACTCTACCTCTATGATCTTCACCTAGAATTGCGTGAAGGATTAAATTCTCGGGAAGCAGATTGCCCTACTTCGTTCGCCGTCGTCTGTTCTAAAAGATTACTTTGAAGGGATACAAGCCTCTGCTTTTGAATGGAGGGTGCAGGATGAGGTGAGCGGAAGGGATACAAAGAAACTCGAAGCATTGCTGGCAGGAAGGCGAACGAGATTCGGCTCCCAGCGAATCCAGCGCAGCAAATGTCGAATTCGCGCCTCTACCCATTCCATCCGCGAAACAGCGCATTTCGCTGGAGTCGCCCGATGTTGCCTTGGAGTAAGTCGCCGGCGATGCGTAACTTGGAAATTGTGGATTCGCCAGCACCACCTCCGACTGCCAATGAGCCTCGTTGGACTCGGCAGGAATGCGATTTGCGAAACTTGTTGGTGCCACGTGGGGTTCTTTCCGTTCCTGCGACACTTAGACACGAAGAAGGTGCCCTGTGCGACTTCGCTGGGCTGGCTGCGATTGGCCAACTAAGCCAAGCCAGGGGAGGGGAATTCGGAGGTTGACTGCAGCGACTAGGCTAGAGAAGGCTGGGTTCGGTTTGGTGCGATAACGCGGAAGAAGGTATGGTCAACTGTTTCATTCCCGTCATGGGATCTCCAGCGGGGATGGAGAAGCAGGAATATATGCTGAGTTAATTTTACACTTCGATAACATGCCTACCAATTTCAATTCCATATGCAACAATTAAACGTTCTTGACTTGATTATTTTATAGTTTGATATATTTAATTATGTGATTCATGGATGTCAAGTTTGTAGAAATTATAAGAAGCAGCAAGGTTTCGTATAAAATATGGCAACATTATATGGCAGTTTGTTATACACACGTACGCGGGACGTCCAGCACGTACGTTTAAAATTCATTTTATTCGGTATAATGTGATTGTCAGCGGTCCAGCGTGGCGAATCGCGATAACGGCTCCCAATCCCAATGTATCCTACCGAACCGTGATCCGTGTACGTATCGTAAACATACGCGCTGGACACGCCCTAACACCTCCACGTTCAGTGTTTGGGTGCAGCCAGCAGGGCTGAGCCACGTCGCATCAATCCACGGGTCTCTATCCTCTCCCTATATCGAGCCCAGCATTTGCCAGTCCTACCCCCGTCTCCGTTGGATAAACCTCGGATCCTCTTCCCTTCTGTTCTAGAGTCTCAAATCTCCAGGTCACTGACCTCTAGGCACAGCCTCCCTGGTTCTAGGGAACGTCGCACAGCTTCGATTTTGAATATAGTAAAAATAACTTGCTTTACACCGGAGTACGGTTCTTCTCCATACTAGCGAAGCGGACAGTCGCCAGCGAATCACTTCGAAAAAATCCTAGAAGTTGCCGAAAGATCAGATTGCCACCGACCTCCAGTGATCCACTCCCTCCCATCCATGGCGTCAGCACTAGCTCACATCGCAGGGCCGCGCGTTGGCACCGGTCGTCCAGAACTGATGGCCGCCATCACAAGTCCCGCGAACCAGCCCCCGTCCGTCACATTGTTACCACCAGCCGGTATACTCCAATCCGTTTCAAAAATATCCATCGGTTTTGTCGGCACCCGTGGTTCCAGCCACGGGTGGTCGCATGGAGGCAAGGGCTCGGCGCGCTTAGAAGTGACGGCGAGGGCGGGCGGCGCGCGGCCGCGGCCGGCTGGTGCGCGGCCGTCGCAAAGGCCGCCGATGAGACGGCAGCAGCAGCAACAGACGGATGATAAGGACGGGCCGCAGATGAACAGTGACATCAGGTGAGGCGAATCGCATGTGAACAGTGATTTCAGGTGAAGCCGGCCGGGGATGAACAGTAATGTTGGGGCAATCCTCCACACTAGGTTTGCGAAAGCAATCCGTGAGGGAGCGGAGGGGCAATGCGGCGCGCCGAGCTTGCGCGTGTAGCAGCTCGTGCTCGCGGGTTTGGCTTCCCTCTTTCGGACACGGCGACGGGCACGGGAGGTTTGGAGGCACGTCGGAAACCATGGTGTGTGGATCTGCCGCGGACGGAACCACAGGTTCTTAACCCGCCCTAGCCGTGGATTAGCCGCGGGCGGAGCTTAAGCGGCGTGGGGTGGCTGTAGGGCTGGGCTGATTCGGATCTGTTTCTCGAGGGGTCTTTAGAGCCGTCGCCACTCATTCGTCTCATTCACCTTTCGAGGCGTCTTAAGAGCGGGTTCCGAGAGGCGCGCGAAGGCGCTTGACGATGGGCGAGGGTCGGGGATAGGGGGGAGAGGATTGAGTCAGGCGGGGGTGAGGCGGGGGTGAGGCGGGGGAGAGGCGGGGGTGAGGCGGGGGTGAGGCGGGGGTGAGGCGGGGGTGAGGCGGGGGTGAGGCGGGGGTGAGGCGGGGGTGAGGCGGGGGTGAGGCGGGGGTGAGGCGGGGGTGAGGCGGGGGTGAGGCGGGGGTGAGGCGGGGGTGAGGCGGGGGTGAGGCGGGGGTGAGGCGGGGGTGAGGCGGGGGTGAGGCGGGGGTGAGGCGGGGGTGAGGCGGGGGTGAGGCGGGGGTGAGGCGGGGGTGAGGCGGGGGTGAGGCGGGGGTGAGGCGGGGGTGAGGCGGGGGTGAGGCGGGGGTGAGGCGGGGGTGAGGCGGGGGTGAGGCGGGGGTGAGGCGGGGGTGAGGCGGGGGTGAGGCGGGGGTGAGGCGGGGGTGAGGCGGGGGTGAGGCGGGGGTGAGGCGGGGGTGAGGCGGGGGTGAGGCGGGGGTGAGGCGGGGGTGAGGCGGGGGTGAGGCGGGGGTGAGGCGGGGGTCAGGCGGGGGTCAGGCGGGGGTGAGGCGGGGGTGAGGCGGGGGTCAGGCGGGGGTGAGGCGGGGGTCAGGCGGGGGGTTGAGAGGACCTAGACCCGATGAGGAGAATGATCATGGGGCTGCTTTTGAGTCGATTCGAAAACCGCAGGACCTGGTGCCGATTTCTGTCCGTGGAAGGAGGGAGGGAGGGAGGGAGGTTGATCTCTTCTCCCTTGTCCTGATCGTACACCCCCTCGCCGCCTCAGCCTCTCGTTATCCGCCCTCCTTGTCCCTAAAGTCGTGTGCCATGCGTGTGCCCCGTGTGCCATGCGCGTGCCCCGTGTGCCATGCGTGTGCCCCGTGCGCCATGCGTGTGCCCCGTGTGCTGTGTGGCCTGGCAGGGTCCCCACGCTTCGCCTTCTCGCGGAAGACCAGAGCCTGGTGAGCGACGCGGCACTCACGCTGCTTCGAGGGAGATTGGTTGGGGGGAAGGAATGTCATTGTCTTGTCCGGAGGGGATGCCACAGCCTGGGAAGATCGATGGTGTCTGGAGAGAATTAGATAGCCTCAAGGGAATCTCGTTATTACCAGGGAAACATTATTGCCGTTTTTCTTTCTTTCTTTTCATTATTGCCGTTTTTTTCTTTCGTTCTTTCTTTTCCTTGTTGTGTGTCGCCGTGGGCCCTGTCTCTGCGGCCGCACGCAGCTGGGGATTGTATCGAGAGAGGAGGCGCTGTCCAAGGCCAGGGAAGCAGGGCTGGATCTGGTGAGTCCTGCTGTAGGTGTGCCGAGGTGTGCCGATGTGTGCCAAGGTGTGCCAAGGTGTGCTCACTCAAAAGGCCAGGGAGGGAGGCGGGGTTGGATCGGGTGAGTCACTTTTGTGGGGAATTGCAAATGGCGTTGCAGCACTGTGACGTGGTGTTGAAGCGCTGTAAGGTGGCATTGAAACATTGTGAGCTGGCATTGAAGCGTTGTGAGCTGGCATTGAAGCGTTGTGAGCTGGCAGTGTAACATTGTGAGCTGGCATTGTAACACTGTGAGCTGGCATTGTAACACCGTGAGCTGGCACAGTAACACTGAGACAACGTTGTAACACTATGAGCTGGCAGTGTAACACTCTGCGCTGGCATTGTAACACTAAAAGCTGCCATGGTAAGGGCGGGCGAAATTTGGCTTGATTCGGGGCCAAAACCGAGCCCGTGGCTCAATTTCGTGCGTAAACTGAGAAATGCGCCCCAGAATTCATGCAGACATTGAGCCACGCGAGAGTGTAAACAAGTCTTCGTCACAACATCAGCGAAACAATTCGGCAGAAAGTGCTAACCTGTGGCAAACCAGTATTGTGATAAACCAGACTCGCAAAAAAATCAACCCCACTGCTCGCCAAACAAAGTATCTGTTGGAATTGCACACCCTGGTTTCCCCGTTTTTGTCGCTGTCAAAATTTGTCAAGGATATTCCTCTGTTGTGGTTGATTGCGGAACTCTTTTTTCTCGTGCGACAACCCTGTAACACCCTCAGTCACGCAGGCTCAAGCCTGTGGCCTCGGAGCTCAATTTCGCAGAATGAGCGAGGGCACATTGAGCGAGGGCACATTGAGCGAGGGCACATTGAGTGAGGGCACATTGAGCGAGGGCACATTGAGTGAGGGGACATTGAGTGAGGACACGTTGAGCGTGGGCACGTTGAGTGAGGGCACATTGAGTGAGGGCACATTGAGCGAGGGCACATTGAGTGAGGGCACATTGAGTGAGGGTACATTGAGCGAGGGCACATTGAGCGAGGGCACATTGAGCGTGGGCACATTGAGCGAGGGCACGTTGGGCCATACTGTGAGCTGTGGGCTGCATCCCCTCGCGTCTGCTCTTTCCCAAATGGTTCCCCCCATGCCATGCGAGCAGGTGATGATAGCACCTGATGCCAAGCCCCCTGTCGCGCGGATAATGGACTACAGGTGAGCACCAGCTGGACGCTGACAGGTGAGCACCAGTTGGACGCTGACACGCGCCAGTTGTCCGGCGATTTGTTGACAGTTTTGTGTTTTTTCTCATTTTTTTCCTGCCTTCCTTAGTCTTGCCCTGCTGATGAAACCCACTATTCTGATTTTCGGCGCTTCGTGCAAACCTGCTTCATTCCCGTTTCATCCCCGTTATAGCAAGTTCCGCTACGAGCAGCAGAAGAAGAAGCGGGAGCAGCAGAAGAAGGCTGCTGCCAGCCGCCAGGAACTCAAGGAACTCAAAATGCGGTGAGCCCTCGAGTTGTGGTGAGCCCTGCCAGCTCTCTTATCCCGCCTCCAACAGCATACTTCCCCTCATACCCATGCGCCCTTCCCCCCCTCTCCCCACCTCTCCCCCCCTCTCCCACCTCTTCCCGCCTCCATCCTCCCCTTCCCCCCTCGTCTCCCCCCTGCCGTAATTGCTTATGTTGTGTCCCCTCTCCCGCTTCTCCATATGTTGACAATGCGGACATATCCATTGGGATTGCATGCTGACATTGGGATTGCATGCTGACATTGGGATTGCATGCTAACATTCGGACTGCATGCTGACATTCGGATTGCATGCTGACATTGAGATTGCATGTTGACATTAGGATTACATGCTGACATTAGGATTGCGAGCTGACACTTGGATGGATTGCGTGATGGCATGGACATACTACCCTCATTGCACGACTGACTCTTCTGTCAACACCGAGTGTCTTTTTTCCTTCAAATTGGTTCTACACTTCCTCGCCGTCTCTCCTCCCTCCTCCACTCCACCCCCCCTTTCCCCTGTACTTACCCACCTTGTTCCCTTCCCTGTGGTTCCTGTTCAACTTTCTTTCCCCGTGAGCTAGGTACAACATTGACACCGGGGATTACAATGTGCGCCTGAAGCAAGCTCTTAAGTTCCTGCATGACGGCGATAAGGTGCGGATACTTGGCTCTTATGCATTCTGGTTATAAGGTGAGATGCCTGTTGGTTATAAGGTGAGATGCATGCTGGTGATAAGGTGAGATGCATGCTGGTGATAAGGTGAGATGCATGCTGGTGATAAGGTGAGATGCATGCTAGTGAGATGGTGAGGTGCAGCTGATTGCTCAGCTTTCTTTTGCGGGCGGGAGGTGGAGGCCAACGGGTGAGTTCGTTCCCTTCCTCCCCTCCCCTCCCCTCACCCATCTGCCTCACGCGAAGCGGCCGCCGCAGTTCCTGTCGCAAGCACGACAGTGTCTCACCTGCCTCAGTCCTTCATTTCAAGGGGCTGAGGACAGCGCTTTCCACTACTCCCCTCCTTCAAGGAGCCGAGGCCAATGCGTCCACCACCCCCCTCACTGCCGCCTCCCTTCGCCCCACCCGCTCTCCGCAGGTGAAGCTGACGGCGCAGTTCCGCGGGCGCGAGATGGAGTTCAAGGAGCTTGGAGTGAAGCTCTTTGACAAGTTCCAGCAGGACGTGGCTGAGGTGAGGGTGATGCCGAGGTGAGCCGAGGACGTGGCAGAGGTGAGGATGTGGCAGAGGTGAGGATGGTGCTGGCGTCCAACAAGGCGGTGCTGCAGTGCATGGGGGCAGCAGAGAAGTGCCAACCAAACCCCCTCGGTCTATTCTCCTTTCTCCCTTGCCCCCTCTTGCAGCTAGCCATAGTGGAGTCCAAAGCGCATCTGGAGGGGCGGTCCATGCACATGGTGTTGGCGCCCAACAAGGCCGTGCTGCAGCGCATGGCGGCTGCAGAGGAGAAGAGCAAGCGCGCGGCAGAGAGGAGCAAGCGGGCCGAGGCACGCGGGGGAGTTGTGTCTGGGAGTGAGAGTGATGGGGGGGAGAGTGACGGGGAGAGTGATGGAGAGGTGGCAGCCAGTGGGGGGGAGCAAGGTGAAGAGCAAGAGGTGAAAAACTGAATAGGAGTTGTGTTAAACTTTGAGATAAGTGCGCCTTGAATATTGCTGCAAAGGAGGGGTGAAATACTCGTTCTGGAGGAAAGAATGTTATTTTGTGAGTGGATTTTCAAAGTTGGCGGATAATTGTACGGTAGCTGCGCTGACCTCCACTTATGCATGGGTATGGTGTTAGATAGCATTCTGTTAAAATTCTTACGATAGCACATTTGTAACGATTGCATACACAAAATGTATGTTAATTTTTTGTCTTCGCCAGGCCCAGTCGCCGCGGTCAACCTCGGGAAGTTCCAGGTTTGTAACGGAGTGAATGCTTAGCTGCCATTGCGCCAACAAAGTCACACGCAGCCGCCTCCCGTCAATAGTCGCAGAAGCTGCGATGATTGCACGTGGCAGCAAGGCAAGTGATTCCCTTGCTTGCCGAGTCCAGCGTAGATGTGATGTGCATAGCGAGTTCGCGACAGCCATGTTACCTGGCGAGCGAATGGCAAACGGGCGAGGTCTAGCTCGGCTGGCGGACATATGCAACTCATGCGAAAAGCACGACCGTGTCCAGTGGCATGGATAGTTAGACGAGGCGCGGCGAATGTCGCATTTGCTGCGCTGGAGTCGCTAAACGCTGAAGCAGGTTTGACGCCCCGCTAGCGCGGCATGTTTCTTTCTTCCTTTGCTGCTCCTCTCTCATGTCAACTCCAGCATAAAAGATTCTCCTCGCCCTCCCTCGCCCCAATTTCTTCTAGATTCAAAAGCGCAAGTCAGTAGTGCCAGGAAATTACTGTATCTGCGAACGTTTTGGAACAAGCCAGTAATCGACCACAGGAAGTTTGAAGCGCAGCGAAACGCCATCTGCACGCGTCAAAGCAGCCATTAGGAACTGCGCCAGCCATCGTAAAGTCGCTCCAAGAAAGCACCTAGAGCGCGGTCGATCTCTACTAGAATTCGTAACGGTCGTCCTGGTAGGGCGACACGCCGCTGTCGTCATCATGGCGCCGATGCGCGTTTCGCTCGTCCTCCTGCTCGTATCGTGCGCGTTTCATATTCAACTACAGTCCGTCATCGCAGGTCGCGGTGGTCGTGACCCGTTCTTCCCGGGACGACCTGAGGTGGCAAGGCGCGCCGAGCCCATGCGCCTGGCGCACAGCCCCCACAGCAATAATTACTACCGTCACCAGCGCCCAACCGGCGGGCAGCTGCACAGCCACCGCGCGGTCAGGAGACCCACGCTTCCGCCTCCGCCTTCCCCCGCCTCCGCCACCACTCCGCCCATCGAAGTCCTCCCCTTCGCCTCCGCGCGCTGGTCGCCGCGCCCAGCGAGTCGCTTCAGTCGAGCCAGCAACTCGCCGCGAGCCACTGGGAGGATGCTTGCTCCACTGGAGCACCCCACCGTGCCGAGGCTCGCGTCTGTCCCTTGGAAGCCGCGTCCGAGGACTCGTTACAGTCGCCGACTGGGAAGGAGGCACTCGCCACGAGCCCATGGGAGGACGCTCGTTCCGAGGCACGCGTCGAGGATCGGTCGCAGGTCCGGTCATCTGTCCGGGCTCGCCGGGGGCCCGAGGTTCCGCCCGCGAGAGCTTCTGGTGGCGGACAGTGATGGTGGTAGGATGGAGTACGACCGCGCCTCCGGGCAGCGAGTGAAAGTTTTCGACGGGGCTGACCGCGACGGCGATGCGGTGGAGATTCTCGAGGAAGCGCCTCTCGCCTCCTCCAACCGCGGCGGCGGCGGCGGCGGTGCGGCGTACGACAGCATGAAGCGGCTACGGGGTCCGGAAAGGCTCCACCACCACCGCAATCGACGCCATCGCGGCGCGGCCCGACAGCAGCACAGCGCGGTTAGATATAGTGGAAATTCTATGATTGACACTTTAAGGGAGCAGAACGCAAAGATGGGAGGCTGGTGGTCCAGCGAGTCGGATGGAGGCAGCTCGGATGGCGGTTCGGGTGGTGGTTCGGATGGAGGTTCGGAAGGGGGTTCGGACGGAGGTTCCAATCCGATGCTGGACTCGATAAGGGAGCAGAACGCGAAGATGGGAGGAGGGATAATGGAGGACGCTGATTCTGCATTAGATTCGGGCGGAGGCTCGGACGATGGTTCGGGTGGAGGTTCGGGAGATGGTTGGGGCGGAGTTGGGGATGATGTCTGGAATGGAGGTTCGGGAGATGGTTCGGGCGGAGGTTTGGATGATGTCTGGAATGGAGGTTCGGGAGATGGTTCAAGCGGAGGTTGGGACGACGTCTGGAATGGAGGCTCGGGAGATGTTTCGGACGGAGGTTGGGACGATGTCTGGAATGGAGGTTCGGGAGATGGTTCGGGCGGAGGTTGGGACGACGTCTGGAATGGAGGTTTGGGAGATGGTTCGGGAGATGATTCGGGAGACAGTTCGGGCGGAGTTTGGGATGATGTCTGGAATGGAGATTCAGGAGACGGTTTGGATGGAGTTTGGGACGATGTCTGGAATGGAGGTTCGGGAGATGGTTCGGGCGGAGGTTGGGACGACGTCTGGAATGGAGATTCAGGAGACGGTTCGGATGGAGTTTGGGACGATGTCTGGAATGGAGGTTCGGTAGATGGTTCGGGCGGAGGCTGGGACGACGTTTGGAATGGAGATTCGGGAGATGGTTCGGGTGGAGTTTGGGAGGATGGCTCGGAGGGAGGTGGGAATGGCTGGGGGGGTGGCACGGATAATGGTACAAATGGAGGTTCGGGCAATGGTTCGGTGGGAGGCTGGGATGATGGTTGGGGCAACGATGGTGGCACATGGGAGGGTGGTGGTGGAAGTGTCGGTAACGACTCTCATTCATCCGACCCCGATTCAGAGGACACTGGATCCCCCACTGGCGATGCTGCTGACACTGGCAGTGTCAACGGCACCAGAAATTTTAACGCGTCACACAGCCAAGCCAACCGAGCCAAGCTGGCCAAACACCGAGGCACCACCCGTGCCTCGTCGTCCCGAGCCAAGCCAACGCGGCATCCCGGCAACTACCATGGCGGTTCGGCCCATGCTATACCAGGCCACCGCAACCGCAGTCCCCGTCCCCCAACCCATTCGCCAACAAACCACCACAAAGGTTCGGCCCGAGCCAAGTCAGCCCGAGCCAAGCCAGTCCGAGCCAAGCCGACCCAGGCCACGCCAGCCCAGGCCAAGCCAGCCCCAGCCTCCACCCCTGCTCCCACCACTCATCACATCACCTACCCCACTCCCACCACCCCCCCCTCCACCCCTCCCATCCACCTGCGCTGTGGTGTGGCCCCCGGCTCGCTGCAGGCCGCGCTGGATTGGGCGTGTGGGCCCGGGGGCGCTGACTGCAGTGCCATCCAGCCGGGCGGCGCATGCTTCCAGGCTGGCAACGTGCCCCTGCACGCGTCGTTCGCCTTCAACGCCATTTTCCAGAGCCACGCCCACCGCCCCGGCTCCTGCTTCTTCGGCGGCAACGCGGTGGTCGTGCCGCGCGTTCCAAACTACGCCGCAGCACCGCCCACCTGCTCCTTCCCCTCCTCCAACGGCCAGTACTGCGTCGCCGCCTGCCAGGAGGAGCAGGGCGCATTTGTCCCCCGCAACCCAGTCATCCCCCCAAACCCTGTGTACTACCCCCCGGACCCAGTCCAGCCGCATTACCCGCCCGCGCCTGCGTGCCATGCGGACATGGGTGCGGTGCAGAGGGCGCTGGACTGGGCGTGTGGGCCCGGTGGGGTGGACTGCTCGGCCGTGCTGCCGGGAGGGGCGTGCTGGCAGGGGCAGGGGGAGGGCGCACTGGCAGTGCATGCGTCGCACGCCTTCAACGCCTACTTCCAGCAGAACGGCCGCCAGCCTGGCACCTGCTTCTTTGGCGGCACCGCCGTGGTGGTGCCCCGTGTGCCCGACTATGCTGCCGGCCCGAACTCCTGCTCCTGGCCGTCGGATAACGGGCAGTTCTGCGTGGTGGGGTGCTGAGCGGTCAGGCTGGGTTGGGGGATGAAGATATGAGTAGTTGTTGGGGCTGAAGGGGAGCAGTGGGTGGTAGTTGCTGCTGGGGGTTGGAGTGGGCGGATGTAGTCCACACAGGGATTTTGAGGAGATGGTGTTGGGTGCTGAGGAGGGCGCTAGTGTGGTGTTGGGTGCTGAGGGGATGGGGGGCAGGTTGAGAGCAGAAGGCACTCAGCAGTGAGACCTAGATGTGCGGTGGCACCTGCTGTGGTGGTGCTGTGCACGTCTGAAGGCGCCCAAGGGGGGAAAAACAGGCGCCACATTTAGAGTAGACCACATTCCCATTCCTAGTTGTTTGCTGTTGCTGGGCGTGTGCCTGTGCGTGCTAGGTGGGTAGGTAGCTTAGCTCACCTTGCTGGGTGGACAAGACGGCAGTATCGCGACGTCTCTAGCACCATAGTCTGGCCTGGGACGCGTGAATAAGGTGCTTGTTTTTTACAGTTCCGTACAGGGGAAGAAGATAACTGTCAAAATCTCCAGAAAACCCGGCACAAGAATACGTGTTTGTGAACATGCTTAGCTACACGTTCACTTGAAACTCGATTACGTGCTGACTCCCCCTGTCTCCACCTCCCTCCCCACCATTCACTGTGCCCTCCTCCATCGCCCCTCTCGTTGATACCCAGTCTCAAGTACCAGGGCCACCTCCACCTCCCACCCCGCCCACTGTTGTGTAATACCAAGGGCGACCTTGATCCCTCTTATGTCCCTCATGAGCACCTCAAGCAGCCCCCCTCCCCCCCCCCCCCCCCCCCCCCCCCCCCCCCCCCCCCCCCCCCCACACTGCTAGATTTAGTGCATCCCATACCACCCGCTGTTGCTCTCCCCACCTTATTGTCATCCGCACTCTCCACTCCCTTGCACCGCACATCACCCTTGCTGCTCCCACCCAACCTGTCTCCCTCCCTTGTTGCCCGGAGAAGGGAAACGCCTCTCTCCCTCCCACTCGATATGTTCACGCACCCCCTCTCTTAACTCCCACGCACCCCGCATCACCCTTCCTAGCAGTACCGCCATCCCCCTCCCTCGGAATTGCTGGCGGTATTGCTCCCTCAATATGCTCCCCCGCAATACCGCCATCGCCCTCTCCTGGTGCCTCTTCCACGTCACCCACTGCCAGCTGCAGCACATTGCACACCGCCTCGCACTGCTCTCTCCCGCTCATTGTCCGCTCCACCCCCCTCCCTCCACCTCCCTCCGTGCACCGTGCATCAATCTTACGGCAAGCCCCACCTCCATCTCCCCCCCTTGTTTCCCCCTCCACTGTTCCTCATTGCTTGCTGCCTCCCCCTCCCTCCACCTCCATGCACTCTACATCACCCTTGCTGCTCGCCCCACCGCCAGGTTCCCCTTGGGTGGCCTCCTCCACCTCGCCCACTGCCAGCTTCAGCACCTCCCACACCGCCCGGCGCTGCCTGCATGCACGCGGAGCAATGCATGTGGAGCAATGCACGTGGAGCAATGCACGTGGAGCAATGCACGTGGAGCAATGCACGTGGAGAAATGCACGTGGAGCAATGCACGTGGAGCAATGCACGTGTAGCAATGCACGCGGAGCAATGCACGTGGAGCAATGCACGCGGAGGAATGCATGTGGAGCAATGCATGTGGATGCCAGGTGAAACTGACAAAAAAGGAGCTTGATGAAAAAGGGCCGAAAAGCAAGATACAGCTCGGAAGGAGATGGAGTTGGACATGGGGCGCCTACTCCTTGATCCCTTGGAGTGACAGCTTCCGCATCTCCAGCTGCGTCTTCAGCATGTGTGCCAGCGTGGCACGTGCCTGGAGAACAGGGGAGCAGGGCAGGAGAGGGGGAACAGAACAGACAGGGAGGGCAAGTCACGGCCTCATGCAATCAATCGTGGCCCGTGTAGGGCTGTTCGCATAATATAAACAGTCCTGATGTCATTCAGCCTCACACTCTCATGAGTGCTCCGTTAATAGTAGTCACCTCTGTGAAGAAACACACATGTATGCACACGCAGGTGCGCTTGCAAAAAAGGCTCGCAGACAAACAAATCACCTGGTGTGGTCTGCGAGTTGAATCTTTTGTACAGATTAGAAAGAAACAGCAAAACATCCTCACTCCCTTCGTCCCCGCCACAACACTCACACACACACCACACACGCACACGAGGAGAGAAAGCAATCCAAAGTGGTCACATCCATCCCCCTCTGCTCTTCATTCCGTTGCGTGGATGCAGGCGCTGCTGTCATCACGCAGTGGATGCAGGCGCTGCTGTCATCACGCAGTGGATGCAGGCGCTGCTATCATCACGCAGTGGATGCAGGCGCTGCTATCATCACGCAGTGGATGCAGGCGCTGCTATCATCACGCAGTGGATGCAGGCGCTGCTGTCATCACGCAGTGGATGCAGGCGCTGCTGTCATCACGCAGTGGATGCAGGCGCTGCTGTCATCACGCAGTGGATGCAGGCGCTGCTGTCATCACGCAGTGGATGCAGGCGCTGCTGTCATCACGCAGTGGATGCAGGCGCTGCTATCATCACGCAGTGGATGCAGGCGCTGCTATCTTCACGCAGTGGATGCAGGCGCTGCTATCATCACGCAGTGGATGCAGGCGCTGCTGTCATCACGCAGTGGATGCAGGCGCTGCTATCATCACGCAGTGGATGCAGGCGCTGCTATCATCACGCAGTGGATGCAGGCGCTGCTATCATCACGCAGTGGATGCAGGCGCTGCTGTCATCACGCAGTGGATGCAGGCGCTGCTGTCATCACGCAGTGGATGCAGGCGCTGCTGTCATCACGCAGTGGATGCAGGCGCTGCTGTCATCACGCAGTGGATGCAGGCGCTGCTGTCATCACGCAGTGGATGCAGGCGCTGCTGTCATCACGCAGTGGATGCAGGCGCTGCTGTCATCACGCAGTGGATGCAGGCGCTGCTGTCATCACGCAGTGGATGCAGGCGCTGCTGTCATCACGCAGTGGATGCAGGCGCTGCTGTCATCACGCAGTGGATGCAGGCGCTGCTGTCATCACGCAGTGGATGCAGGCGCTGCTGTCATCACGCAGTGGATGCAGGCGCTGCTGTCATCACGCAGTGGATGCAGGCGCTGCTGTCATCACGCAGTGGATGCAGGCGCTGCTGTCATCACGCAGTGGATGCAGGCGCTGCTGTCATCACGCAGTGGATGCAGGCGCTGCTGTCATCACGCAGTGGATGCAGGCGCTGCTGTCATCACGCAGTGGATGCAGGCGCTGCTGTCATCACGCAGTGGATGCAGGCGCTGCTGTCATCACGCAGTGGATGCAGGCGCTGCTGTCATCACGCAGTGGATGCAGGCGCTGCTGTCATCACGCAGTGGATGCAGGCGCTGCTGTCATCACGCAGTGGATGCAGGCGCTGCTGTCATCACGCAGTGGATGCAGGCGCTGCTGTCATCACGCAGTGGATGCAGGCGCTGCTGTCATCACGCAGTGGATGCAGGCGCTGCTGTCATCACGCAGTGGATGCAGGCGCTGCTGTCATCACGCAGTGGATGCAGGCGCTGCTGTCATCACGCAGTGGATGCAGGCGCTGCTGTCATCACGCAGTGGATGCAGGCGCTGCTGTCATCACGCAGTGGATGCAGGCGCTGCTGTCATCACGCAGTGGATGCAGGCGCTGCTGTCATCACGCAGTGGATGCAGGCGCTGCTGTCATCACGCAGTGGATGCAGGCGCTGCTGTCATCACGCAGTGGATGCAGGCGCTGCTGTCATCACGCAGTGGATGCAGGCGCTGCTATCATCACGCAGTGGATGCAGGCGCTGCTATCATCACGCAGTGGATGCAGGCGCTGCTATCATCACGCAGTGGATGCAGGCGCTGCTATCATCACGCAGTGGATGCAGGCGCTGCTGTCATCACGCAGTGGATGCAGTGGATGCAGGCGCTGCTGTCATCACGCAGTGGATGCAGGCGCTGCTATCATCACGCAGTGGATGCAGGCGCTGCTATCATCACGCAGTGGATGCAGGCGCTGCTGTCATCACGCAGTGGATGCAGGCGCTGCTGTCATCACGCAGTGGATGCAGGCGCTGCTGTCATCACGCAGTGGATGCAGGCGCTGCTGTCATCACGCAGTGGATGCAGGCGCTGCTGTCATCACGCAGTGGATGCAGGCGCTGCTGTCATCACGCAGTGGATGCAGGCGCTGCTATCTTCAGCAGTGGATGCAGGCGCTGCTATCATCACGCAGTGGATGCAGGCGCTGCTGTCATCACGCAGTGGATGCAGGCGCTGCTATCATCACGCAGTGGATGCAGGCGCTGCTATCATCACGCAGTGGATGCAGGCGCTGCTATCATCACGCAGTGGATGCAGGCGCTGCTGTCATCACGCAGTGGATGCAGGCGCTGCTGTCATCACGCAGTGGATGCAGGCGCTGCTGTCATCACGCAGTGGATGCAGGCGCTGCTGTCATCACGCAGTGGATGCAGGCGCTGCTGTCATCACGCAGTGGATGCGTCTGCATGGATGAGGCGCTGCTGTCATCACGCAGTGGATGCAGGCGCTGCTGTCATCACGCAGTGGATGCAGGCGCTGCTGTCATCACGCAGTGGATGCAGGCGCTGCTGTCATCACGCAGTGGATGCAGGCGCTGCTGTCATCACGCAGTGGATGCAGGCGCTGCTGTCATCACGCAGTGGATGCAGGCGCTGCTGTCATCACGCAGTGGATGCAGGCGCTGCTGTCATCACGCAGTGGATGCAGGCGCTGCTGTCATCACGCAGTGGATGCAGGCGCTGCTGTCATCACGCAGTGGATGCAGGCGCTGCTGTCATCACGCAGTGGATGCAGGCGCTGCTGTCATCACGCAGTGGATGCAGGCGCTGCTGTCATCACGCAGTGGATGCAGGCGCTGCTGTCATCACGGCAGTGGATGCAGGCGCTGCTGTCATCACGCAGTGGATGCAGGCGCTGCTGTCATCACGCAGTGGATGCAGGCGCTGCTGTCATCACGCAGTGGATGCAGGCGCTGCTGTCATCACGCAGTGGATGCAGGCGCTGCTGTCATCACGCAGTGGATGCAGGCGCTGCTGTCATCACGCAGTGGATGCAGGCGCTGCTGTCATCACGCAGTGGATGCAGGCGCTGCTGTCATCACGCAGTGGATGCAGGCGCTGCTGTCATCACGCAGTGGATGCAGGCGCTGCTGTCATCACGCAGTGGATGCAGGCGCTGCTGTCATCACGCAGTGGATGCAGGCGCTGCTGTCATCACGCAGTGGATGCAGGCGCTGCTGTCATCACGCAGTGGATGCAGGCGCTGCTATCATCACGCAGTGGATGCAGGCGCTGCTATCATCACGCAGTGGATGCAGGCGCTGCTATCATCACGCAGTGGATGCAGGCGCTGCTGTCATCACGCAGTGGATGCAGGCGCTGCTGTCATCACGCAGTGGATGCAGGCGCTGCTGTCATCACGCAGTGGATGCAGGCGCTGCTGTCATCACGCAGTGGATGCAGGCGCTGCTGTCATCACGCAGTGGATGCAGGCGCTGCTGTCATCACGCAGTGGATGCAGGCGCTGCTGTCATCACGCAGTGGATGCAGGCGCTGCTGTCATCACGCAGTGGATGCAGGCGCTGCTGTCATCACGCAGTGGATGCAGGCGCTGCTGTCATCACGCAGTGGATGCAGGCGCTGCTGTCATCACGCAGTGGATGCAGGCGCTGCTGTCATCACGCAGTGGATGCAGGCGCTGCTGTCATCACGCAGTGGATGCAGGCGCTGCTGTCATCACGCAGTGGATGCAGGCGCTGCTGTCATCACGCAGTGGATGCAGGCGCTGCTGTCATCACGCAGTGGATGCAGGCGCTGCTGTCATCACGCAGTGGATGCAGGCGCTGCTGTCATCACGCAGTGGATGCAGGCGCTGCTGTCATCACGCAGTGGATGCAGGCGCTGCTGTCATCACGCAGTGGATGCAGGCGCTGCTGTCATCACGCAGTGGATGCAGGCGCTGCTGTCATCACGCAGTGGATGCAGGCGCTGCTGTCATCACGCAGTGGATGCAGGCGCTGCTGTCATCACGCAGTGGATGCAGGCGCTGCTGTCATCACGCAGTGGATGCAGGCGCTGCTGTCATCACGGAGTGGATGCAGGCGCTGCTGTCATCACGCAGTGGATGCAGGCGCTGCTGTCATCACGCAGTGGATGCAGGCGCTGCTGTCATCACGCAGTGGATGCAGGCGCTGCTGTCATCACGCAGTGGATGCAGGCGCTGCTGTCATCACGCAGTGGATGCAGGCGCTGCTGTCATCACGCAGTGGATGCAGGCGCTGCTGTCATCACGCAGTGGATGCAGGCGCTGCTGTCATCACGCAGTGGATGCAGGCGCTGCTGTCATCACGCAGTGGATGCAGGCGCTGCTGTCATCACGCACTGGATGCAGGCGCTGCTGTCATCACGCAGTGGATGCAGGCGCTGCTATCATCACGCACTGGATGCAGGCGCTGCTATCATCACGCAGTGGATGCAGGCGCTGCTATCATCACGCAGTGGATGCAGGCGCTTCTATCATCACGCAGTGGATGCAGGCGCTGCTATCATCACGCAGTGGATGCAGGCGCTGCTATCATCACGCAGTGGATGCAGGCGCTGCTGTCATCACGCAGTGGATGCAGGCGCTGCTGTCATCACGCAGTGGATGCAGGCGCTGCTGTCATCACGCAGTGGATGCAGGCGCTGCTGTCATCACGCAGTGGATGCAGGCGCTGCTGTCATCACGCAGTGGATGCAGGCGCTGCTGTCATCACGCAGTGGATGCAGGCG